TTCCACGTACACGACAAAATATACTCAAATGTGACAATGACCCTAGCAATATGAGTTGATTGCATTTCAAACCTTTATTTAACGAGATTGGTCCCAGATCTCTTTTTCAAGAGAGACCTGCCAACACATCCTCACTCCCAGGTCGGCCTATGTTGACGTTATGTCAAGTCCTGTGTCGGCTTTTTCCAACGCAAGGGGGGGGGGCCTTAGCGTCCATTTTCAACGCAAGAGGGGGACCCTTAGCGTCCATTTTCAGCCTTCCGGGATGTCCATATGCTTCTATGGACGCTCATGGAAGCACGGCATTCGTTTGTGTCGGCTGCCCTTAAAGGCAATGTGAGCGTCCATTCTCATTGGATAACGGAGAATTGTACACCCGGAAGTAAGTATTCCCCTTACTGTGGATTGATTTTACAGTGATATCTGCACTACTCATCGACTAAAAAACACCAGAGTATCCTTGTTAATTACACAACATTGATTGGTTTAAATTGTGTGCAATGCTTTTGTATTTTTCCCCTTCGATTCGGAGAAACAAATATTTTTTCGGAGTAAAGGATGGCAGAAGACACTACACTACCCAGAATCCCCAGCTATCATTTGGACTACACCATGTGCTCTGTTTGACGTCACGTGATCTTCACATTTCTCCCTGCAGAAAAAAAAGACATGGCCGAACTTCGTTTTATTCTCGGTGTAAAATGCCTATTTTAAAGTTAGTTTGGCCATTAAAATGCGTTTTGATGTCATTTGATGCGAGAAATATGAGTTGTTATTTCAGATTATGTGTGCAGTGGATGTACATGATATTTAGTTTGCTAGTTATTACGAAGATTACTTCAGGAAATTGCGTCCATAACGTTTTCATTGTTACCAAGGTGGTTGCTAGGGACGCTGCTATCGATATTATTTCTGTTATGTTGTGTAACTGTTTAATGGTGTTATCTTTATTGCTACCCCCTTCCCCGTCAATGTATAGTGTTGGTCCACAGCGCAAACGTATTAGTTTAACAAAATCCGCATCTAAAGATACGTTATTTCCCCCTGTGCAATTCCAGTCTCACATCTCACAGCACATCGTCATTAACAAATACCGGAAACAGACCGAAAACATTTAAAAATAAATAAATAATACTTTATTCCGAGTGTGCTTGCTTTTCTCTTTGGAAGTCATCACATAACGGCATTGTAATACACGGTTCGGCTGCATTAAATATTACATATCTGCCGTAGTTCTCTATTTATAGAGCCCTGATGAGAAGACTTCTAGACAAACATGAGGAACTGAAAACGTGACGTGGATCATAAATATATCAGCCATTAAACAACATCTTACATTTATTTTCACACAATACGTCTCCTTGCAGTATCAACACTAATTCGGCTGACTTTTATATTTGATCCAATTGGTAGATAGGTTGTATTTACACCATAACGGTGCACACCTGATATAAAGGGACACCTAGTGGTTAAAGCATGTTATTGAATTTCATTATTTTTATTATTAGATATTAATAGGATCCCTATAAAGTATATTCATTACTCGTTATTCTCTACTAATAGTTAATTAAAGACTGTATATAATGACTATTTTGCACATCCCTTTCAAGATTTCAAGATTTTCTAAGGTTTATTGACACATCATATAGGCCTACACAACTATGGTGTAGTTCTGCATTGAATGAAAAACTTGGGTCGCAGGTTCCTCAATAGTGCATTACAAGACATCTATCAATATTTGTGCGTACCTCCAGCAATGTTAACTATGTTGAAGCACTTATTTTAACTGATATTATACATAATGTATTATACTCTTATAAGATGTATGTAGATATTTCATCTCCGGCCTTGTCAGGTATTGAACAATCAATAAATAAAGAACACAGAATTGTTGAATATAAAACACAGAATTTGTGTGATTATACTAAATGATTTACAAATAAACACCACTGCATATTTAACTGTTACACATGCTGATGTAACGCAAATGTTCCAACTTGGGATCAATAAAGTATATCTTATCTTAAGCTGATCGATGGCTACTGCCATATTTGCAAAATGTGCCTCTGAACCTTGACAAGTGCATGTTTCAGGCTTATCAATTAATGTAATGTAATGTTATCAATTAACAACAGGGGTCACAAACATAAGACCAGCTGTTAAATAAAGCTCTTCTGACCTTAGCTGGCATGTGTGTAGGCCTATATATATTAATGCTGCCCATTATGGGCACAAGCAATTTTCACCCATTTATTAATTATATGTTTTAAATGTGAGTGTTTCCTATCCCCTAAACCTCCAGGGATGTACACAGTTTAATACTGGCAACTTCTTATTATGGGAAATACGAAAACGTCTTTTAAAACTACACCTCCCAGTAGAGACGTGCCATAGATAGAGAACATGTTGCGAAACAGAATAGCCAGCATGTGTAGTTCTGGGGAGGGGGTGGGGGAGGGGGGGACGCGGTGGACCCGTTCAAATCCAGTTTTGGACAGTCTGCTGTGGTTCCATTCCATTTCAAGTGCTGTTCGAGGCTCGGCGTAACCCTCGGAGCACACTCTCCAATCACAGAGCTTGAGGACTATCACGGGGTTTGTCAAACAGAGCACATGGTGTAGTCCAAACGATAGCTGGGGATTCTGGGTAGTGTAGTGTCTTCTGCCATCCTTTACTCCGAAAAAACATTTGTTTCTCCGAATGGAAGGGGAAAAATACAAAAGCATTGCACACAATTTAAACCAATCAATGTTGTGTAATTAACAAGGATAATCTGGTGTTTTTTAGTCGATGAGTAGTGCAGATATCACTGTGAAATCAATCGACAGTAAGGGGAATACTTACTTCCGGGTGTACAATTCTCCGTTATCCAATGAGAATGGACGCTCACATTGCCTTTAAGGGCAGTCGACACAAACGAACGCCGTGCTTCCATGAGCGTCCATAGAAGCATATGGACATCCCGGAAAGCTGAAAATGGACGCTAAGGGCCCCCCCCCCCTTGCGTTGAAAATGGACGCTAAGGCCCCCCCCTTGCGTTGGAAAAAGCCGACACAGGACTTGACATAACGTCAACATAGGCCGACCTGGGAGTGAGGATGTGTTGGACCTGCAGCATATAGGTTCCACATGAAACATAAAACAATAAAGGACATCATACATTATATTTACAGAGTTGATTGAATGGTGTCTACATGTGTGTTGGCTCAGTAGAGACGACATACATACCGAATGCCTTATTAGAACATTTGCAACTACTAAAAAGCTGGAGTGTAGGTTTTTTTGCATGTAAACAAGTGTCTGTTACATTCAAGCTTCAGTCAAACATATTCCAGCTTCACAGATTAAGCCAGGAGAAGCTTGATTGACCTATTTTCCCAGAGTTTGCGACCCTTACATTCAGCATTTACAAATCCACACACATTCATTCAGAGACAGAGGCTGCCATACAAGGTGCCACATGCACAGGGAGACACACGTTTACACACCCTTCGCAGAGCCATTGTAAGCAAGTTGAGGTGAAATATCTTCCACATCGACATTTTGACATCGAACTACCCATCGTCCGATTGTTGGACGACCAGTGTCCACTTTCTGGATTCTGTGACTACTTTTAACCTCTTAAGCCCCATGGACCCTTCGGCTGGTCCGAAACCACAACATCTGCAAGCAACAGGGCTTCTTAAGATTGAATAAACTATGAATGTTTCATATCCATGTAACGGGAAGAAACTCAGCTAACTGATGAAAAAAAAACACAAGGCTAACGCTGAGCCTCTGAATTAGCCCTGAGCGATCACAGAACTCACGGTATAACACCCTTATTACTTATCGTAACTGCACATCCAACATATCGATTAGCAACGTGAGAATACACAGGATCAATAGGTATCTATATCATCACTCCATGATCAGAACTCGCAACATTAGAAACAAAAACAGACATCACAACGCGTGGCATTAGGTAGAAAACACGGCAATATGTCTTACCTCTGTTGTTGTCTGATCAAAAGTTGTCCTCAATGGCATTAAAACGATAACAACGCTAGTGAAGGTTAATCCAATGTGTCTGTGTCCCTTTGAATGATTTCTGATAATCCATCAGCAATAAACCTACTTTTAAGTTTTCAGATTTCAGAGCATAAGATGAAACTGCATGCGCATAGCCCCCACTTCTCAATGGTAACGTTGGTGTGTATGTGGAAATTCCCCTTCGATTCTATTGGCTCTAACGGTTCAAAATCGACCAATGGGTTCCAGAGAAACGGCAAAAACGCCCATTTCCACCCAAATCACCTCAGAGGATGGAGTTTTTTTGGCTTAACCTCTCTAAAAAGGTCAAATGTCACTTGTTTTGCATCAACCTTGATACAGGGTACTTATTATATGTTGTACTTTGGATTCCTAAAGCTTTTAGTCTACCTTACCATCATCCAAGGGTAGTTAAAGTAAAACATAATTTTTGGACGGACACTATAATTTACAGTTTTTTACTATGTTCAATCTGAATTTTCTTTAAAATAAAAAACATCTATATTGATTCTGACTTTCCAACTCACAGGTTTATCATTACTTTGAGAAAAAAGATTATTAATTTCCCCTTTTAGAAGTTATGGTCATTTGTTCTGGAAATGTCATTTTCGAGCCTGATACCTGAAAAACAGGCTTGGGGCTTAACAGTTAAGCGTCTTTGAGCATTAGGAAAAGCGCTATTACAATTATTATTATTATTGTTACTTTACTTTGCACCAGACTTATAAAAAAAAACAGAAGCTAGGAGTATGGCGGAAAAAGTCCAAATGCACGTCAAAATCCTCGGCATAAAGAGAAAGGATTGAAGTAAAAAACTGTGATTAAAAGTCATCTTGTCGGCTGTGCACTACATGTATTCTTCTGTGGCTAAATGGGATGTTTTTTTTTACATTTCCCTCCTCCTAACGACAGTGTCAGGTTTCCAGAGACATTAAGTCAACTGAGTGAGTGTCTGGTCACAGGGGGAAGTGTCCTGCCTCCATCAGAGCCAGAAGCTTCCTCTCCACTATTTAAAGCCCAGCGTGAGCGAGAGGAGAACATCTGACTGCAGCTCATCTCCAGCATCACACAGTGAGTACTACAACTTTACTCTAATCAATGTGGGAACTTCACTGCGAATTATCAGGAAACTCAAAACCTTAAGAACGATTTTAGGAGTGTTTTAGATGCTGACAAAGCTGTTTATTGTGAAAAACATGTTAAAGTTTGAAGCTTCAGCTGGAACTTCACTCAAAAACTGAAAATATATGATGTAATTTGAGGCAGTGAGAGATCCAACAAGTGTCCACATTTAGTGCAGCTGCAAACTTCCCTATTAAATATGTTTTAATTTAAATCCAGCATTGATTTATGAATATTTCAAGTTATATAATCACTTTTATGCTCCATAGTCAGTATCGAATGTGAGTGTGATTACATGTGATTATAATTCTTTGCAGCAAAAAACCCAACCACTTTTTTATATGTAAATTCGTTTTTTATGAGCATATGTGTGACAAATACTCCTGTACGGTTAAATGTAATCACTATAAGACGAATGCATTGCATACAGATGTATACAGTCTTTGTTAAATGATTATATTGGTTTTCCAGCTTGTGTTTACGAGTGGCCATTAGCGGCCTTTCTTCATCGTCTGCAAACAGATGAGAGGCTCACATACAGACACACAATGGCACGTATTTACCGAGGCTGATGGGAAGAGATGGGAAGAGGACATGCTGCGGGTTTCATCAAATTGGAGACTGAGAATGCATGGTTTTACTGTAGCAGGAAGTCCTGTCATCGTTTAAAAACACTGTGGTGAAGACTTTGGTGGGTTCAGAGTAGAGGCTCTGAAATATTGATGGGTCATAATGGAAAACATTGGGTTTCTTATTACAGACAGGTGTGAGAATCTTTAGTCCCCTGAATCCATGAGTTAGAGAAATATTTCTACTTTCTCACCAATTACTGTCCAGGAGATTTAGTAATGCACAGCGCTGCCTGAGGAGAAGAGAAGCAGCTCAGAGGTCAGAGTTCATTATTGATCTACTAACGGAGAAATATTCTGATGTTCTCGAAGAAAACGTTGCTGCTCTTGCTTCACGGTGAACACGGAGAGAAAGCGTGCACATGTTGAGAGGAAACTGTATTTTCAAAAAACCACCCGTACGAACAAATGCCAAACTTCATTGCATCTCATCCAAAGGTGTTAGTCTGTGGAACAACTGGAATGATGCACTGAAATATTGTACACGTCTAAACTGAAAGTATTATTTAGGAGCTAAATCATGAATGGTTATGAACAGGACCTGTAAAATCATATTTGTTGTTATTTCTTGTAATTTTAAAAGTAATTTCTTTCTGATTGTTTTGTAAAAAAGCAAACTAATTATAATAATAAGACACACATGTCGCCGATGACCTAATGTTTTATTCATAAGAAAAATATATGCTAGAGGGGGGAGGACCAGAAAAGATGAGACTATTTGAGAATTATTGTTGTTTTTTTGTTTTTGTGTTGTACTTTGTTATAATTATTAATTCGAGTGAGAAGAAAAAAAGAATAGATATATATATATATTATTGTTGTATGTTTTTGTTTCTGACAACGAACCAGAAAACAGAGAAAAGTCTTGATGCAAAATGGGGGGGGGTTGGTTAGAGCAAAGAGGGGGTTTTATTTATAATATGGGGCGTCACCAAATCTCCTAGAAGATTTAGCTTCCGACATTCAACACATTAGTTTGAAGCTAAATTTAAAATATTGTACGGCTTTTTCTTTTTTTTATGTGAGCAAAGAGCGTTTTGGGCGGCAACATCTCTTGAAATCTTGAATTTAGCGTCCGAAAGAAGCCACCTCTCACGCAACTCAAGCATTAAAGCAGTGCTTCTCAAACTTTTTTCAGTCTTGTACCCCCTTTGAAACATTTTCTCAGCCGAGTACCCCCTGATCGACCCCGAACATTTTTGATCGAAAAACCCTGTACAAATAATTACAATATAGTGATGTTCCCTCAGTGTGTGATTTCTTAACTCCTTCGTGCATGAATTACAACAAACTAAGGATATGTTCATCTTCATGCATGACAAAAAAACAACATAACATTTTTATAAAACAGATTTTTTTCAAGGAGTTTTTCAATTGAAATAATATGTTTAACAAACCAATGAACAAAATGATATATTGTGAAAAACTATAAAATACAATACACACATTTGACATGTTTATGAGGACCCCCTTGGTGGTTCTAGAAATATTTTATATAAAATTGTGTTTTCTATTTAACTTATTGTACTAAGAATATTTTTGTAATCATGCATGGTATTTTTTTAATTAACTTTTTATTTTATTTTTTTAAATCTCACGTACCCCATGCAGTACCCCAACGTACCCCCAGGGGTCCGCGTACCCCCATTTGAGAACCACTGCATTAAAGTATATCCTACTACTTTCAAACACATTTTCACTACAACGGTTTTAATAACGCACAAACGAGTAGCACACCTGCACAAAAGTGAGACTGTTGTGTGAGGCAGAGAGTTTGTTAACAGATGTTTTTAAATAGTTGTTCAAACTCAGCCACCATTAACCAAGACTTCATTGACAAACCTTTCCCCTAAATTAAAGGTAACATGAGGGTAACTGATCTACAAATGGTCCTTTTGTGGCTAAAAGAAAAGTGCATTAGCTCGTCCGTTCAGGTGAACTGACGCGTGCGGTTTTGCTTAAATATTTGAACGCAGTTGTCTGCACTGTAAATCAAGAAGGCAACAAATCATAATGCCTTCCACCAACAAAGGGTAAAAACCTCAGTGATCCGTCACACTGCGTAAGGTCGGGGGGGGGGGGGGGTTCCAATGAGAACTCTCCGGAGTAATTTTCCCACCCAAAATGCCATTTGTTGTTTGGCCTTTTGAAGTGACTGATACAATTACAACGCTCCAGCTCAATCTCCCTCGCCCAGGATCACTCAAGGACACCTGGGACCAAGAATCTACCCGCCGCCCCCCTGCTGAGAACAAACATAATTGCTTTTCTGGATCTGAATGCCCTTCAGGGTAAAAGACAAAGTCACTGAGCTCGAATCCCCTCGTGGAGAGAGTTATCTGCCCTCTTAGTGAAATCACACTCTACAGCTTGTAGCATGCTTCATATACGCTGATATTAAAACTGCTGTTATGTGCATGCTGAGATGGTAGAAGTACACACATCCTTTACTCAAGTAGAAGTACACACATCCTTTACTCAAGTAGAAGTACAGATACTTGTGTTTAAAAATACTCTGATAAAAGTAGAAGTACTGACTAAACTTCTTTACTCAAGTGAAAGTAAAGAACTTTGAAGTGTACTTTAGTAAAAAGTACCCATAACTAGCAGCTGCTTTAAAGAGTACCTGACCTCCCTTTATATTAATAGAACAATAATGTCATTGTTAGCTAATGAATGTTTCCATGCTGAACAACGGCAACATGACAACGTTTCCATTGCTCCCTCTTCTTTAGAGAAGACCAGGAAATGATGGATACACGGATCGTGTTCAAATCAATAGGCACGCAATGACTCTAAAGAATAATGATCACGCATCAAACACACATTCAGACTAAAGGAACCAGCTGTTTGGAAAATGAGAGAAGTAGAAAGTACAAGTATTTGAGTTCAACATGTAAGAAGTAGAAAGTACAGGTATTTGTGTTCAACATGTAAGAAGTAGAAAGTACAGGTATTTGAGTTCAACATGTAAGAAGTAGAAAGTACAGGTATTTGAGTTCAACATGTAAGAAGTAGAAAGTACAGGTATTTGAGTTCAACATGTAAGAAGTAGAAAGTACAGGTATTTGAGTTCAACATGTAAGAAGTAGAAAGTACAGGTATTTGAGTTCAACATGTAAGAAGTAGAAAGTACAGGTATTTGTGTTCAACATGTAAGAAGTAGAAAGTACAGGTATTTGAGTTCAACATGTAAGAAGTAGAAAGTACAGGTATTTGAGTTCAACATGTAAGAAGTAGAAAGTACAGGTATTTGGGTTCAAAATGTAAGAAGTAGAAAGTACAGGTATTTGTGTTCAACATGTGAGAAGTAGAAAGTACAGGTATTTGTGTTCAACATGTGAGAAGTAGAAAGTACAGGTATTTGAGTTCAACATGTGAGAAGTAGAAAGTACAGGTATTTGTGTTCAACATGTGAGAAGTAGAAAGTACAGGTATTTGTGTTCAACATGTGAGAAGTAGAAAGTACAGGTATTTGGGTTCAAAATGTAAGAAGTAGAAAGTACAGGTATTTGAGTTCAACATGTAAGAAGTAGAAAGTACAGGTATTTGAGTTCAACATGTGAGAAGTAGAAAGTACAGGTATTTGAGTTCAACATGTAAGAAGTAGAAAGTACAGGTATTTGTGTTCAACATGTGAGAAGTAGAAAGTACAGGTATTTGTGTTCAACATGTGAGAAGTAGAAAGTACAGGTATTTGAGTTCAACATGTAAGAAGTAGAAAGTTCAGGTATTTGTGTTCAAAATGTAAGAAGTCAAAGTAAAAAGTTGTCAGAAAAATAAGTAGTGGAATAAAGTACTGATACTAGTCAAATGTACAGTAACAAAGTATTTGTACCCCACTACTTCCCACCTCTGTGTGCATCCATGTGTGTGTGTTTGTGTTTTTTTCAGACTCCCCTCATGTTGAGTCTCCGCTGAGTGATGAACTTCGGCAGAGATCTGACCCGACAGACCAGTTGTTACACGTACGTGATTGAAGACGAAGATCAAGCCCTGGCACCTCTAGATGTATTCGAGGTGAGAATGAGTGGCACCAAATTCTATTAATGTCTTTAAATTCGAACAATTGCTTTGGCTCTTCTGTCTCAAGTGTTCATGCAATCATCACACAACCTTTATGGGATTTTACAGCCTCATCAAAGTCTTAAAAAGGTCGCCCAAAACCATACATTCATGTTTCAAAACAAGTGTTATTATCCAACGCACCAACATTAAAAGTTATGACAGTTGCATGAGCTGTACTGGTCAAAATGTTAATGGGATATACATGCATGTCTGTCCCATTTTGACCATTGAATGCATCATTTTGCATACAGTATTCAAGATTCAAGGCTTTATTGTCACGTGCAGTGTAGATATGGAAATGAAAATCTTAAGAACAGGCTCCTCCAACAGTGCAACATGAATATAAACTGGATACCACACCCATAAAACTAGTGAAGACGACCCTACAGCCCGTGCAGACTGGGGTCCAATTAAGTATTTTCCCATTACAATAGGCACTTTCACACCGGAGTACTTTTCCCTTTTAGTTCCGATAGTTCCTGGGATTTTGCGTTCACACCAAAAAGAGAACTTAGTTCATGAGAACTTTTCCCCCCTTTTCAGTCCCTGCTAGAGAGCAGGTACTTTCCTGGGGAGAAAAAAGTTCCAATTTCTGATTGGCTGGGTGGATTGCAAATCACGCCCCGTAAAACTCTGAAAAGTTTTGTGAAGCCGCATTAGCATTATTAGCATTATTAGCATTAGCCCCACGCACCAACGCAGAGAGACTAACTTATGGCACACAAAAAAAAAACATGGGAGCGGTGGAGATGAGGAGGTGTCGGCGTTCTGGCGATTTACTCGGAAGGCTACTCTACTGAAGCCAGTCCCCAACTCCGGGGACTTCGGGTGGCAGTATACGCCGTGAAGTTGTTTGCCAGTAAACCCAAAGCAGAAGAAGAAGAAGTGACGTTAGCGGCTTAATTTGCCTAATCCTTCAACAGGAACTTATTCCGGTGTGAACGAGATCTGCTCTTAGTTCCATGGGGGAACTAATGGCGCGTTTCCACTGTAGCTCGCTTTAAGCGTGCGGGGCCCGTTTTTGGTTGCGTTTCCACTTGGCCTAGTTTTGGCCCGGGGCTACTTTTTCACCTTTTTTCTGGCCCGACTAAATCGTGGTTCTAGGGCTAAGCTAACGTTATATATGCTCCGACCGTCCAGACTCACAACAACGGCCTACAGACATAAATAAAGCAGCGACTGTATTCTCCATGACACAGGCAGTCTGTGGTTTGTACTTGTTTAACTTTTGTCTAGTTTCTGAACAGATATGAGGAGCTGTGAGCTCTGAGTGCTAAGAGCTAACGGCTGTGTTGTTTTTCTGGGGCTCTCATTGAAGATGACGTCACGGCTCCGCCTACACTGTGTTACTATAGTAACTGCCCCAGTTCCTAAACTGTAATGGAAGCGCAGCATAAAGTGAGCCGGGCCTAATAAGGCCTAACCAAACCGAGCGAGGCCTGCAGTGGAAACGCGCCATAAGTGCTGGCACTAAGTAGGCTACGGCAAAGTACTTGGTGTGAAAGCGGCTATTGACTACAAAGTCTTTGAAGATTTGGCAGCATTCACCAAAAACCAAACTAGTTTTTTAGTAATCAAATATACAGCAATGTTCAGATCAATTACTTATTTATGTTTTAAATAAAGGTGAATGTATTCTTGTATTAATATCATTCTATAAGCATAATACGTTACATAGTTTATCTTTTAATTAAGGCTGTCTTTTCACACTAAAATGGTCCTGACGTCCTCTACATACTGTAACATTTAAAATTTAATTTATTTTTAAAAAGTCTAAATTGCAAGATGTTTTTTTAGGGTTAATAAATAGGTAGGAAAATAAAAATAATTGGACGACACTTTTTTTCCTCGGTTCCCAGGAGGGTATAGGACATTAAACAAATACAACAATAAAATAGTGCAAGAGAATGTTTTGAGATGATGGCTCAAAGGATGCATGACAGAAACACAATTTCACTGGGATCAGTTTCGATCATCAGACATGTGCTAATGGTTATTGTGCTAATTGCATGCTAACTCTATTTGTGCCAGAAACAACACAAACCTATGTATTTCAGAAAATCATGGGGACACAGACTTATGGTTTTAAAGGATTGAGAGAGAGAAGCCACAAAGATGCTGTTTCTCTCTCTAAGTATTAACAGCATAAGGAGTGTTTATATAACCCCCCCCCCCCTCAGTAATCCTGACCCTCTGTAACCTTAACAGAAGCCATCATGAAGACAAACCTAATGACATCTCATCTGTTGTGTAATTGTGTAACACAAGTTCATTTAAACTGGGCTGAGAATTGGGTTACACTTTCTATGGCGCCTGTGTCTATAAAGCACAATTGCTTCCCCAAAAGAAATTGGCTTTGCAATGTTTGTAAAATGTTTGTATTACATATTAATATTTCACTAAACAGAATGATTTATAACCTGTGGACAACTCCAATCCAGAACCATTCATGGTGAATAATACACATGGTTGAGAAAAACCACCAAAAATCTCATTAAAAGACCACGTAATTAACTTATTGCAACAGAGACGAGAGACTTAAAGCTGTCATTTCCTGTTTGCACTGCATCAACTCTCACTTTGATGAAATCAGAGCTGCACTAATGGAGAACGGATCACTTTCTGTTGATTGTATTATGTTGGGAAAATAGTGAATAATGTACTCTTCCAAAATCAGAGTAACCTGATAACAAAGGTATCCCAACTGTAGCTGTGTTCATGACAGGATGTGTGATGACCTAGAAGAGCATCAGGACTGTTTGAGGCAGATGATAGCTCTGTGATTAACATGATGATTCAGCCTCTATGGAGAGAGACATCAAGCATGCTCATTTCTGACGTGGAGCTAATCTGAAGTAAACATTGAATACTGCTTTCTATTCCTCCATCTTGTGACTGTGTAACTCCCTCTCTTGGATATCAGCATGTGAAGGACACTGTTCAGGAACTAGTTGATGCTCTGTATGTGATGACTCCTTCCATTCTGGAGAGGATCACAGACACATGGATCCTGAGATGAAGCTCAAGCCGGTGACCTATCTCCTAACATATAACGTCTTTCTGTTGTCACAGTTGGCTGAGAAGGGGGACCTGGCGCTGCTGGAGAACCTGGTCAGGAAGAACCCTGAGGTCCTGAGTGAGAAAGATGAGTGTGGAGCGACTCCTCTTCATCACGCCGCCGCGGGGGAACACATCCCCCTCATCCTCTTCATCAACTCTGTCATCGAGGCGCAGGGTGAGAACAATCTGCCATCCATCACACACTCAGGTGGAAACGTGTGTGTGTGAGAATCACCATAAAGCTGTATGACCAATCACTTCTGTTTTACCACTCTTAATTTCCCGTATTGAACAACACAATAACATATAATCGTGTGTGTGTGTGTGTGTGTGTGTGTGTGTGTGTGTGGCAGGTGTGAACAGCTGTGATGAGCATGGGAACGTGCCTCTTCACTGGGCCGTGGAGAGGAACCGGACGGAGAGCTGCCGGGCGCTCCTGGACCTCGGGGCGGACCCAAACCTCCTGAACACGGCCCTGATGTCCCCGCTGCACCTGGCCGTCAGCCTGGGGCACAACGACCTGGTGGAGGTGAGGGGAACGGACTAAATAACGTATATTTATAATAATGTAGACTCCTTTGTGCACCAGTCCATCCTCACAGTAAATACAGAGCTGAATCCCAGACCAAACGCATGCTAAAGGGTCTTTGAGCATGTCTCTCTCTCAGTTTTGACACCAGGTAGATGAGATAAAATAAGATTCAACATGTTCCAATTACTGACACACAGTCGCCACATGGAGGTACTGAATGACTTTCTCAAACCAAGCTTTAGTTGCACTAATAGACCTGTATTGTAACAGGAAACCCAACATAACGTTTGTTTCATCATCTCGACCGTATAAAGGCCTCAGTCTGTTCAGTGCCTGCTGCCGACGATCAGACGACAGATTCTTTCCTCCTAAACGCCACCATATAAATAGTTTGATCTCTTACGAAAATGTACTTTTTCTGCACTCTCCTTCAATGCCCAGCAACACAAACCTTTCCACTGGTCAACAAATGTACTTTGTTTAGGAAAAGGTTGTGGTTAAGGCTAAAACAATAATGTTATTACTTGACGTACACTTGTGACGTTTGCTAAGTACAAGTTACGTAACGTAAGGTAACATGTTGACGTATGTTTCCCTCCGGACACACAGCCGTCCTGTTTTGTTGACATCCTCCCCACGCAGACTTTCTCACTCTTTATACTCCGTCACCTGACTTTCCTGAACATCCTGGCTCATGATCACCTTGGTTGTTTACACATTATCCCCATCCTTAAGTACAAACAGTGAATCGTTACAGCCTAAGCATTAAAAGACAACAACAGCAACAACAACTGCGTTGCATTTAACAATGAAAATAAATCCCGTCTGAGCCTTGAGAACAGGCAGGTATTTGCTGAGTCATGTTATCACATATTTTACAACACACGGACCCGTCACTCCTGCAGCTGTAAAGTCGACTGACAACTATTTCCAAATCTGACAAAGTGTCATCTTCTCAAAGAGACCTTGTCCCGTCATCCTGCAGCATCTGGCTGCCGTCCACAGCCTGACACATAAAGGACGTTAAAGAGTGTGTGTGTGTGTGTGTGTGTGTGTGTGTGTGTGTGTGTGTGTGTGTGTGTGTGTGTGTGTGTGTGTGTGTGTGTGTGTGTGTGTGTGTGTGTGTCCTCGTGCAGCTGCTCTTGTCCCACAGCACTACGGACATCAATCTGCAGGGAGATCTGGGAAACACCCCTCTGATCCTGGCCTGCTCCCTCAATAACTACGAGGCTCTCAGCACATTGGTATGTGCACTACAAACACTCAAAATCTTGCCCAGTATCTGTGTCTAACATCGAGTCAGAATGTGTCTCTCCACCTGATATAATTACTTCAGAAGTGACACTGCAGTGAGATATCAGGTCTTGTTTTCAGGCAAAGCTTCATCTTGTTAAGTCAAAACATCTTATTTTGAATTGTATCTCAGATTAAACACATATTTAATTACATATTTAATAGAAAATCACCAACTGACATCAGACACCAGAACACTTTTGAGTATTAGCGGCTTATATATAACACAACATTTCCTGATTGTGGTAAAATGTAGTTCTAAATGAGTTCTCCAGCTGATTACAAGATGTGATTGATCTAAATATCCCGTCTTATTTCAAGAAATCTTACCGAGCACATTCTCACTTGTTCTATTGGTAGATTTTTGTACTTATTTCAAATGGAAACACCTTTTCATTGTTGTTTAACTTGTTTTAGGAGCTGCATGTTTTCCAGATGATGCATTCAGGGTCCTGCATTCGTTCAGTGTTTCTGTACATTATGAGGCTCTTGTTATACTGTCTTAGATGTGTCTCTTGTTTGTCTCTCAGATAAAGTATGGAGCGAAGCTTTGCAAACAAAACAAACTCGGACATTTCCCCATTCACGCAGCTGCCTTCTCCGGTGCAAAAAAAGCCATGGAGGTGATCCTGAACGCCGGTATGACACCACAGATTGATCTATCACTCAGAGTTTAGTGATGAGGATAATGAGAAAGTTCGTACGAGGTCATACAGCAGTCAGACAGGAGGGTTCACCTCTGAGACATTTAGCAGAACGTGCCTCTCTGTACACACACACTGACACTGTTTATCCACAGTGGGGGGTCTGCTTGGAACGTCTTCTGTTGTTGGAGGAAGGATTAGTCAGAGCACAAAATATTTATGGTATTGAGGAGATTGCTCAGCTGGGTTTGGTGGATGTACACCGACAGAGGAACACAAATGGACAGTTACTCACAGGAAAAGCTAAATAATAAAGTCAGGAAGTTGGCTTTGTGACACGTCAGAGTACTAAATGGCTTAATCCTAATGTGTCTTTAGAAAGTCAGACAAGAATGGGTTGAAGGAACGTTTTAATTCAACGAAATGTCCTGGGAAAGCTGTCTTCCCTGGAGAACCACTTCAATTACAAACTGAAACCTTCATTATGAGCCTCTTAAGTTATCAGTGCTTCCTTCACTACTAAAAACGTTGATTTCAATTTCTGCTGTCAGGTTCGAAGAAAGGCCACGACATCACGGCTCACATCAACTACCTGGACAAGTCCAACAGCAGTCCTCTGCACCTGGCCGTACGAGGAGGGAACATCGAGGCCATCACCTTCTGCATCGCTAAAGGGGCCAAAGTGGACCAGCAACAGGTGATGGCAATAGTACACATCCTTTTCTCAAGTAGAAGTACGGATACTGGTGTTTAAAAATACTCTGGTGAAAGTAGAAGTACTGACTAAACTTCTTTACTCAAGTGAAAGTAAAGAGGCTTTGAAGTGTACTTCAGTAAAAAGTACCCATAGCTAGCAGCTGCTTTAAAGAGTACCTGACCTCCCTTTATATTAATGTCATTGTTAGCTAATGAATGCATCTTGTCATGCAAGAAGGGCAGAAACATGTGGTTGTCTGCAGACTAAACAAATCCTGGAAGCTGCATAATACATTGTCTGTCTGCTCACATTTGCATTGTGTTTTGACTAAACATCTCATCAGTGTACACCTGTAAAGCGTGTCTGTTCTGTAAAGCGTGTCACCCTTCTCGGTACGATGGTTATTATGTCTGACTGCAGCTGGAGGACAGTAATAGCTCTGGTTTGTTCAATTGATCTGCACTCACTGGTTATCTCATTAAAGGCTTGTGTTACAGCCTGTGAGTCTGGGAGAGACTCTCTAATGTTACACAGGGGAAGGGTACAACATGAGAGTGTAGTGAGTACATGCAGGCATACTAATTCCTGTGGGGAGTTTTTATGCTTGGCTCTCAGACATGCACTTCAAAAACAAATATTATTGTCTAACATCTAGTCAGAATGTGTCTCTCCACCTGCTATAAGACATACTAACTTCAGAAGTAACACTGCAGTGAGATATCAGGTCTTGTTTTTAGACAATGCATCACCTTGTTGAGTCAAAACATCTAATTATGAGTTGTATCTCAGATGAAACACATATTTTAAAAACATATTTATTGGAAAATCACCGACTAACATCAGAAAACACAAAACTTTGGAGTATTTGCGGCTTATTTTGGAACAACATTTCCTGATTCTTATAAAATATAGTTCACAATTAGTTTTCTCCCAGCTAATTACAAGATCTGATTTATCTAAATATCCCATCTTCAAGGAATCTAAAGTACACACATCCTTTACTCAAGTAGAAGTACAGGTACTCGTGTTTAAAAATACTCTGGTGAAAGTAGAAGTACTGACTAAACTTCTTTACTCAAGTGAAAGTAAAGAGGCTTTGAAATGTACTTCAGTAAAAAGTACCCATAACTAGCAGCTGCTTTAAAGAGTACCTGACCTCCCTTTATATCAATAGAACAATAATGTCATTGTTAGCTAATGAATGTTTCCATGCTGAACAACGGCAACATGACAACGTTTCCATTGGTCCCTCTTCTTTAGAGAAGACCAGGAAATGATGGATACACGGATCGTGTTCAAATCAATAGGCACGCAATGACTCTAAAGAATAATGATCACGCATCAAACACACATTCAGACTAAAGGAACCAGCTGTTTGGGAAATGAGAGAAGTAGAAAGTACAGGTATTTGTGTTCAACATGTAAGAAGTAGAAAGTACAGGTATTTGAGTTCAACATGTAAGAAGTAGAAAGTACAGGTATTTGAGTTCAACATGTAAGAAGTAGAAAGTACAGGTATTTGGGTTCAACATGTGAGAAGTAGAAAGTACAGGTATTTGGGTTCAACATGTAAGAAGTAGAAAGTACAGGTATTTGAGTTCAACATGTGAGAAGTAGAAAGTACAGGTATTTGGGTTCAACATGTAAGAAGTAGAAAGTACAGGTATTTGAGTTCAACATGTGAGAAGTAGAAAGTACAGGTATTTGGGTTCAACATGTAAGAAGTAGAAAGTACAGGTATTTGAGTTCAACATGTGAGAAGTAGAAAGTACAGGTATTTGGGTTCAACATGTAAGAAGTAGAAAGTACAGGTATTTGAGTTCAACATGTAAGAAGTAGAAAGTACAGGTATTTGAGTTCAACATGTGAGAAGTAGAAAGTACAGGTATTTGAGTTCAACATGTAAGAAGTAGAAAGTACAGGTATTTGTGTTCAACATGTGAGAAGTAGAAAGTACAGGTATTTGAGTTCAACATGTAAGAAGTAGAAAGTACAGGTATTTGTGTTCAACATGTGAGAAGTAGAAAGTACAGGTATTTGAGTTCAACATGTAAGAAGTAGAAAGTACAGGTATTTTGTGTTCAACATGTAAGAAGTAGAAAGTACAGGTATTTGTGTTCAACATGTAAGAAGTAGAAAGTACAGGTATTTGGGTTCAACATGTAAGAAGTAGAAAGTTCAGGTATTTGTGTTCAACATGTAAGAAGTAGAAAGTACAGGTATTTGGGTTCAACATGTAAGAAGTAGAAAGTACAGGTATTTGTGTTCAACATGTAAGAAGTAGAAAGTACAGGTATTTGGGTTCAACATGTAAGAAGTAGAAAGTACAGGTATTTGAGTTCAACATGTAAGAAGTAGAAAGTACAGGTATTTGGGTTCAACATCTAAGAAGTAGAAAGTACAGGTATTTTGTGTTCAACATGTAAGAAGTAGAAAGTACAGGTATTTGTGTTCAACATGTAAGAAGTAGAAAGTACAGGTATTTGAGTTCAACATGAGAGAAGTAGAAAGTACAGGTATTTTGTGTTCAACATGTAAGAAGTAGAAAGTACAGGTATTTGTGTTCAACATGTAAGAAGTAGAAAGTACAGGTATTTTGTGTTCAACATGTAAGAAGTAGAAAGTACAGGTATTTGAGTTCAACATGGAAGAAGTAGAAAGTACAGGTATTTGTGTTCAACATGTAAGAAGTAGAAAGTACAGGTATTTGTGTTCAACATGTAAGAAGTAGAAAGTACAGGTATTTGTGTTCAACATGTAAGAAGTAGAAAGTACAGGTATTTGGGTTCAACATGTAAGAAGTAGAAAGTACAGGTATTTGGGTTCAACATGTAAGAAGTAGAAAGTACAGGTATTTGTGTTCAACATGTAAGAAGTAGAAAGTACAGGTATTTGGGTTCAACATGTAAGAAGTAGAAAGTACAGGTATTTGTGTTCAACATGTAAGAAGTAGAAAGTACAGGTATTTGGGTTCAACATGTAAGAAGTAGAAAGTACAGGTATTTGTGTTCAACATGTAAGAAGTAGAAAGTACAGGTATTTGGGTTCAACATGTAAGAAGTAGAAAGTTCAGGTATTTGTGTTCAACATGTAAGAAGTAGAAAGTACAGGTATTTGGGTTCAACATGTAAGAAGTAGAAAGTACAGGTATTTGTGTTCAACATGTAAGAAGTAGAAAGTACAGGTATTTGGGTTCAACATGTGAGAAGTAGAAAGTACAGGTATTTGTGTTCAACATGTAAGAAGTAGAAAGTACAGGTATTTGTGTTCAACATGTAAGAAGTAGAAAGTACAGGTATTTGTGTTCAACATGTAAGAAGTAGAAAGTACAGGTATTTGTGTTCAACATGTAAGAAGTAGAAAGTACAGGTATTTGAGTTCAACATGTAAGAAGTAGAAAGTACAGGTATTTGTGTTCAACATGTAAGAAGTAGAAAGTACAGGTATTTGGGTTCAACATGTGAGAAGTAGAAAGTACAGGTATTTGAGTTCAACATGTAAGAAGTAGAAAGTACAGGTATTTGGGTTCAACATGTAAGAAGTAGAAAGTACAGGTATTTGGGTTCAACATGTAAGAAGTAGAAAGTACAGGTATTTGGGTTCAACATGTGAGAAGTAGAAAGTACAGGTATTTGAGTTCAACATGTAAGAAGTAGAAAGTACAGGTATTTGTGTTCAACATGTAAGAAGTAGAAAGTTCAGGTATTTGTGTTCAACATGTAAGAAGTAGAAAGTTCAGGTATTTGTGTTCAACATGTAAGAAGTCAAAGTAAAAAGTCGTCAGAAAAATAAGTAGTGGAGTAAAGTACTGATACCAGAAACATGTACTTAAGTGCAGGAACAAAGTATTTGTACTCCACTACTTCCCACCTCTGGTGAATGTTTGTTATGTTTTCACGTGTAATGGATCCATGTTGTGCAGCATGACAGGTCGACTCCGCTCCACTTGGCGTGCACGCAGGGAGCCATGGAGGTCGTGAAGCTGATGCTCTCCTCTGTAGAACGAGTGGAAGAATATATCAACCTGACGGATGGAGCCAATCAGACGCCTCTCCACAGGTGAGCCCCCCCCTCCAATGTATTTGATATTTTACACTAATCTCTTCAATGGTACTGTTAGTGTACAGTTGTATTATTATGCTGCTGTGTTTATTGTATTTGTGTAACTCTGGCACAACAATTTCCTTTGGGATAAATAAAGTCTTATCTTATCTTAAACAATGTCACCTTTAGTTGAGATACTTTGCATTACTTGAAGTGTGCATTGATCCAGGCTCAAATCCCTGTGTTTCCTCCAGACTTTCTCCCACTAACTCACACCCTCATATTATTTTGTAGACTTTTTCTATTCTTGCTCTTTACTGCTGAAAAATGACTCTCCATCTTGACAGAGTTGACCTTTGAGGGGATTGAAGGAGTCCAAAAAAAGGGGAACGTTTTCTTAATAGCTGTAGTTTTACAGTCAGTCAGAGAAAGGTGTAAAAGATGTTTAAACAACGTCACCTTTAGTTAACTTACTCACGAGTTGAGATAGACATTACATTACATGTTAGACGCTTTTATCCAAAGCGAACCCACTACGCCACACGCCTCCCTATATATATATACTTTGCATTATTAGAAGTGTGCATCGATTAAATGACACTCTTGATACCTGGGGTTCTCCCTCTCCTGTAGTGCATGTAAATGGTCTGAAAAAGGCTAACATCCCTGTTTCCTCCAGACGTTCTCTCGCTAACAGGGTTCCTCAGATTATGTTTTAGACTCCTGCACAACCATGCTCTCCATTCAAAGAAAGCTGGAGAGTCGCTTTTTCTATTCTTGCTCTTTACTGCTGAACAATGACTCTCTATCTTGACAGAGTTGGCCTTTGAGGGGATGGAGGGAGTCCAGAAAAACGGGGGACGTTTTCTTAACCCTTGTGTTGTGTTCAAAAGCTGGTACCGTTCATGGTGTTCACGACCCATGATTTATCTCAGTCCAAAACACTCAAAAAGAATGACTATCATCCAATATTATTTTATACATCGTAACTAACTTATAATGCATTCATAGCCGTACAATCCTGTTGTCATTTAATGTTATGGCCCCAAAACACATGTGATTCAATTCACTCATTATATTTCCTATAGTGAAGACAGTGGATCATTATCTGACTATAATAGACTAATATTAGAATACAATCTCCCCATGAAAAGTTTTAAAGTTAAAGATGAATCTTGATTGGGCCAAATTTGACCCCGAGTGACCCAAAACAATTCTGCTGGGTCTCCCCAGACCCCAACACCAAATTATACACTTTTATTTTTTAGAGACCTTCAGACTTGGCTAAAATTGTCAGAATCTGTTTTGTAGTGTTTATATATCTGTTGTGGAGGATATCAGGAAGCCTTGTTCCCATAGAGCGTAGTTATTATATCATTTTAACTTGAAACGGGTTACGGGAGACCCGAACACAACATAAGGGTTAAATGTTGTATATATTGTAATTCACACAAAGGGATGCCTCATGTTTTGCAGCCAGTCAGAATATTTCACTTTTGTTTAACTTACTTGCAAGTTGAGATATACTTTGCATTAAGTGTGCATTGATTCAATTACACTGTTGATAGCTAAGCCCCTTTAAAACGTACACCACTGTTTGTCTCGATGTGTAACATGTGCTTGCTCATGCAGGTCAATAACACTATAACACTGTGACAAACAAGAGCAACACAGATATTAAACTCTGTGGGTTTGTCTGGCAGAGCAATGAGCTGGGGGACACTACAATTAATATGAATAATTAATAAAGATGTGCTTCCCACTTTGATTTGATCTGAAAGCTATTTGGTTAGCACAGAAGAAGACCTACCTGCCTGTTACAGATTAAATAAAGAAAGAAATTGTGAGTATAGTCAGCAGAATACGTTCATTGAAGTCCGGGAGATAAAACATGTAACTGAGGATGATTGTTGTTGTATCACCGTGACGAGGCACAGTCAGATCATCCTCTGAAACACGAGTCCCACGTCACGCTCTGAGGCCCGTTCACAACTCCTGTGTTTACCTTTCCAGAACCACCATATTTGACCACAAAGAGCTGGCGGAGTACCTCATTTCTTTGGTAAATAACACACACACACACTCAACAGCTGTTACACACAGGACACTCCCAACATCAATACTGAGGACTGGGTTATTAATTTCCGGCTTTTAATTGAGAGTAATTGCTTCAAAGATAAACTGCTTTTGGTCCGTAATAAATACACCCATTCTGCAAATGAACTCCTTCTGTTTGTCCTACATTCGTTTCCACTTAGTGATTTGGTTATTTGGACATGTCTTTTTTAAAGCACACCTCTTGATGGGTTCAATGTTAAATGCTATCTATTGCTCATACACCATCTGTTGCACTTCATGGAGCCTTTTAACAGGATTGCGTTGCTAGGTAAAAGCTGCTCAGCTCATGTTTAATCTCCTCATTCTGTGAGCAAACACTGCAGCAGGAAATAAACTCTGCACACCGAGCAGCTCATCTTTGAATCACGACATATTGAGCAGAGATTCAAATCACTCGGGACCAAAGATCATGACATTTGACATTTTAATTCGATTTGGAAAAAACAAACAAATTAAGCCATAAAGTAGACAATATATATCCATGTAGCCCATGTTGTTTCCACGATAGATAGATAGATAGATGGATGGATATTTAGATAGATAGATGGATAGATAGATGGATGGATATTTAGATAGATGGATGGATGGATATTTAGATAGATAGATGGATAGATGGATCAGCTGGATCTTTCGCTCGCTGGCTCAGCTCGCTATCTCGCTCGCTATTGCTCTGGCTCGCTCGCTCTTTCGCTGCTGGATGGCTGGCTGGCTGGCTGGCCTCGCTCGCTCTTTGCGATCGCTGGCTGGCCCTCTCGCTCTTTCGCTCGCTGGCTCTCGCTTGGCTCGCTCGCTCGCTGGCTCGCTCGCTCGCTCGCTGGCTGGCTCGCTCTTCTCTCGCTGGCTGCTGGCTGGCTGGCTGCTCTTTCGCTCGCTGGCTGGCCCGCTCGCTGCTGGCTCGCTCTTTCGCTCGCTGGCTGGCTGGCTGGTCGCTCTTTCGCTGGCTCGCTGGCTGGCTGGCTCGCTCTTTCTCGCTGCTCGCTCGCTGGCTGGCTCGCTTTTCGCTCGCTGGCTGGCTGGCTCGCTGGCTCGCTCGCTGGCTCGCTCTTTCGCTGGCTGGCTCGCTCTTTTCGCTCGCATGGCTGGATGGCTGGCTCGCTCGCTCGCTCTCTCGCCCTCTGGCTGGCTCGCTCTTTCGCTGGCTGGCTGGCTGGCTGGCTCGCTCGCTGGCTCTCGCCCGCTCGCTGGCTCTCTCTTTCGCTCGCTGGCTGCTGGCTGGCTCGCTCTTCTCGCTCGGCTGCGCTCTTCGCTTGTGGCTGGACTGGCTGCTTTTCGCTGGCTGCTGGCTCGCTCTTTCCTGGCTGGCTGGCTAGATATTTAGATGGATGGATGGATAGATAGATAGATAGCTATATAGATGGATGGATAGATATTTAGATAGATACTTTATTGACTGTAGCTAGCAAGCTAATGTTAGCTACATGATCTGTGTTATGAAGAGTGAAGCAGGGGAATACAGGAACAAGGAAATAGAAGAAAGACCAGGCAAAACTGACCCGAACAGAAGCTAACCAATGAAACAGAGACTGCCGTGAAACTGCAGGACTTCAATCCTTACTTTTCTGAAGAGGTGATGAGGTGCAGGTGGAGGAGCTCAGGTGTGGGGAATGAGGTGATTAGGCAAGAGAAAAAGCAGAGAGCTGATTGGCTGAATCACTCTGCAGCAGGAAGGACTAACAGGCTGATTCAGAGCAGGTCTGAGAGCAGAGGAGGAAAACACAGCCGAAAACAAACCGTAAATTAATAAATAACCTAAATTCAATTACTCACGGGTCCAATGTTTTTCCATTCCTTCAAACAAAGAATTATTCGTATTCACACACAATCAATACGTTATTTTCAAAGCCGCCTGACATTATTGACTAAAACTATTAAAACTAAAACCATTAAAACCTCACTTATCATAAAACACTTCAGTCAAACAAAAGAAAATCTCATCAGAAGTTTTTTTATTGGTGTGTCAGCCGACAATCACTACAAAATAATCCCTTTTTTCGGCAAGTAAGATGTGAAAAGAAACACAAAATAGATTAAATAAATAAAAGTTGTTGATGATTTCATTGTTGCCCTTTTTATGCTATTAAAAAAGTTGGAACAAACTTTTAAATCGTGCTTTTAGACCAAAACGAAAACACAACCACCTTAACAGAGGTGATGAAAATCTTGATAAAGGGTCGTAAATATTTCAAATGTTTCCAAGATGAGGCCAAATCTGAATTTCCCGTCTTGCTAAGCTTTACAAAAAATCATAAAAACCAATATATATATTTGTATTTAATGATCACTTGTGCATGTACCACACCTCTCACGTTACACATCTCACATCACGAGAAGCGTTATTTATTCAGTAAATAATCTCCTTCCTGTGCTTTGTTCAGACAACTCTCTCTGACCCAGTTCAACAACTACTTTAATGCACATACTATAACTCACCCATGCTCTCATGGGTTGTTTTGTGTGCAATTAAATGCTGTAATAAATGCTCCTCAGGGTGCAGATCTGAACAGCGTGGACTGTAAAGGACACGCTCCTCTGCTGCTGGCCACGAGCTGTGGAGCGTGGAGGACCGTCGCTCTTCTTCTGTCCACAGGTCAGACACACAACAGTTTTAAAGGTCTCCTATCCTGCAAAATGCACTTTTCAATGTCCTTTCTACATAAACATGTGTCCCCGGTGCGTCAGGAGACTCACGCGGTGTCAGAAAATAAAATCCTCTCTCTTTTCCTCCGTACCCACATCTCTAAAAACGGGGGATCAACGGAGCTGATCCAGATTTGCATCCGATATGACTATCTGAAATGTGGGCTGGCTTTACACCCACGGCCCTATCAGAAGCAATGTGCAACGTTTTTTTTTTAATTCTCCTACTTCTGCACCTATGTTTATGTACTTCCTCCAATCAGAAGCCTGGCAAAATGCAGAATAAATGGCCCTAATAAAGGTCAAAAGTGTGGAGCGCTTCTCACCGTCATTGAGCGCCATCTTGGCTACCTATACTGAAGGTAAGGTTGCTCCAATGTAGAGCCGATGAATGGGAGTCGGAGGCGGGGTGTTCAGTATAGAACTTCATACTTTATTATCTTGAACATCAGACAGGTAATACCATGGGTAATACCTTAGCTGTTACTGCATGTGAAGCTAGCATGAATGAACAACCAACCCGGTGCCCTCGCTAACGGGTCCGGGTTGCAACACACACCAAACACACAGTGAATTATGTCCTCACACGTGACACCACAACTATCCAAATTAAAAGTTATACATGTTTTTTTCCAGTATTTATTAAAGTAACAACTATACTTGTGCTGACAAAAAGCCACCATTTGCTGACATTAATGATATCGTTGCGAGTAAGACAGCTTCACTTCCTGTGTCTGTTTACATTGTGCTAAATGGCAGTTTACTAAGGCCCTAGCCACACGAGGACGATAACGGTCGTATCTGCTACAGTTCTCTATCAGATAGACGGTTCGGACCAACTAAAACTCTGCCGCACGGTCCCCTCGTTCCTTGGAAGAAGCGGAGAGGTGGGTGTTTTTCATCTGCTGGTGGACTACCGGAGAGATTTACAGCAGGAGCAAACGCTTGCCTCAGGGAGGGAGAAAAAGAGCCAGAGTCCACAGCGGAGAATAAACAGCATGGAAACCATGTGCGCGAAGTCTTCTTCGCTGCTTTTGCGGCAGTACTACAGCGCCACTTACAGGCCCGGCATATGTACTACAGCGTCTCCAGCGCTTTCGAGCGGTCTCGTGTGAACGGACTTCTGGTGCCTGTTGGACGGAAGACTTTTTTGATATCGATTTTGTCCGTTTGCGTTATCGTCCTCGTGTGGCTCCAGCCTCAGAGAGATGTCCAAATTAATACACAGCATATGAGACAATGGGAGCCATAAAGCACATAACTGCAGAAGCCATAATTTCTCTAATTGAGTGGTTTTGTGTCTCTTTGTGTTCATTGTGAGTCTTTTTTTTAAAATTGTATATATTTGTATTGTAACTTTGAGATCATTTGTGTCCCTTTGCGTCAGTTTTGTAGCCATTTGAAACTATTTTGTGTTACTTTGCAGTCATTTTAGGTATTTTCCTTGGTGTTAGGGTTAGGGTTTCTTCTACATCATATACATATCGACTTGATAGTAGTTTAGCCTCTCCTTATTGTATGTCTTAATAGTCAGTTTAAGTCATTCTGGAGTAATTTAAAGTCTGTTTGTAGCTGCTTTGTGTCTCTCTCACATTATTGTGTAATCGTTTGATGTTGTTTCTCTTCCTACTGTAGTTGTCTCTGAGTAAGGGGGCCCCTGACACTTTGGTTCAATAATCCATCAAAAACTCTACTGTACTTTGCCCCCAGCTATATGCTCATGTTCTCTGTAAAACCCTTTTGTTAATGTCTTCAGGGGCGAACGTGAACGTGACAGACCGATGCGGCTGCAACTTCCTTCATCTGGCCATCCTCCAGCCCAAAGGCCTGAAGAACCTCCCTGAAGAGGTCCTGCAGGTACGATCATCAAAGAGAGCTCGTTAAGAGGATTTCATTACTGTAAAGCCCTTCATCAATCTGAGACTCAAGTTCATTTTACTCTCAGCAAGCCATGGGACCCTTTAAAACCCCACAAGCTTTACCCAAAGGCCTTTTGATTTGATTTGATTTGATTTATTTTGAATGTATAAAACAATAATACAAAAAACAAGGTAACACTTTAGATTAAGGTACACATATTCACCATCAACTAGTTGTTCATTAACATATTAGAGTCAAACTACTAGATTATTGGTTATGAACAAAACTTCATTTTAAAATAGGGAACATATTCTGAGTTAGAAATACCACATTTTGAAGCAAGTGTTATTTTGACACAAATAACACTTGCAGTTTCTTGTCTTGTTACATAAGAATAGACCATAGTTGTTAGGTGTTATGAGAGAATGCCTCATTAGGCCCATATTGAGCATATTAAGACCCAAACTCATGTACAACAACGTCCTTACTTACAATAAATAAGCACTAATTAGAGGGTTATTGAGGAAAAACTCTTAACTAATGGCCTAGTACTTGTAGAATTTCAATCAGGAGAGACTTCATTTTGTTTAAAGAACATTTATTGACATATGTCATATAATGAATGTTAAGTCTTTGGCGGTCAGACCCCGATCCTGAAATGGTATATCTAAAGGGGGAAATGCAGCCGTGAGCATATAGGAAACCCCCCGGGGTCTAGACATGCTGAAGATCTGGATTTGATGAGGAGATGGGATGAAGAGGGGATGTGATGAGGTCTTTGGATTAACTCTCCTGGCACTGGATGTGATGAAAGGAGGTGGATGGGGAGGAGGCGGATGGGGAGGAGGTGGATGGGGAGGAGGCGGATGGGGAGGAGGTGGAGGAGGTGGATGATGAAAGGAGGTGGATGGGGAGGAGGCGGGCGGCAACATGGAAACCTGAAATCACAGCTGACTGCAGAGGAGAGGAGAACCATTTTAAAGTTTGGCTGCCGCACGGTGATTGGCTGCTGGGGATTGAGGTGAATGTAATAGGTTAACAGGAAGACCGTGATGAGCTGATTATAAGCAGCTGCAGAGTGAATGTATTTATACCCAGTCTTTCTGAAAGAACTTGCACTGAGCTTCATTTAGTCATGTGGAATAAGGCATTAATAAGTGTTTTATAATGACTAATAAAGAGCCAATATACTGCTAATATGCATGTTAATTAACAACTATTGATGGAGAATATGTGTACCTTAAAATAAAGTGTTACCAAAATAATAATAATGAAATGAAACAAGATAATTATGATACTGTACAAACTTAAGCAGTATCAAATTGATAAACAAAAATATCATTGACTTACAAATGATATATAAACAAATGATCTACCCAATTACACACATATATGCCTTTATATATCTGCACTTGATAATGTGCGAGATCAATCCGTATCTGCACTGATTCCTTACACTACAATATTATTTTATATGTGGTTGCATATGTGTTATGTATCAAGTGCCTGTTGTTTTGTGCATGCTTCCTGCAGCATACTTCTGCATTTAAATGTCAAAAAAGACTAGACCGCTTCAACCCAAATACCTCCAACCATTTTCAAACCCTGATATATGACTTATTTTAAGGAAGGTGATAGTTTCTCTCTTCTCCTGTGATGGTGTCATATCCCCTTTGCGTCATCTGCCAGAAACTGTCCAAAAATGTACCTTTTATGCAGTTTAAAGAGACGTTTTTACCATACACTTCCAAGATCGTGGGGCTTTTTCCGACCAATTAAGGATTTAAGGGATGAGGCATCTGTGTCTGAAGTTATCAGAGAAACAAGATGAGCAAATGTTAGCGTCAGCCAAACATCGTAGGGATAAACGAGAGAAACACTAAAGGAATCCTAAACTGAGACAATGACAACAATGGAAACAACCACATCTCCATTAGCCGCTTTCACACCAAGTACTTTGCCGTACTAAGTGCCGGCATTTAGGCCCCGGCACTTAGTACCAATCGCGTTCACACCAGAGTACTTTTCCCTGAGGGAAGATTACGCAAATGAGCCGCTGACGTCACTTTGTCTTCTTCTGCTTTGGGTTTACTGGCAGGCCGCAAACCACTTCACGGCGTATACTGCCACCCGGAGTCCCCGGCCGGAAGTCCCCGGAGTTGGGGACTGGCTTCAGTAGAAGCTGCTGGGACTCCCAGCAGCTTCTACTGAAGCCTTCAGAGTAAATCGCCAGAACGCCGACACCTCCTCATCTCCACCGCTCCCATGTTTTCTTTTGTGTTGCCATAAGTTAGTCTCTCTGCGTTTGTGCGCTGGGCTAATGCTAATAATGCTAATGCCAGCAAATACAATGGCGGCTTCAAAAAATTGAAGAGTTTTACGGGGCGTGGTTTGCAATTCGCCCAGCCAATAGAAATTGGTACTTTTTTGGTACCACCTCTCTAGCAGGGACTAAAAATGGCGGTAAAAGTTCCCGGCAGTACTCTTTTTGGTGTGAACCATGGTGTGAACGCGACATACGGGGTACTAACGGAACTAAACGGGAAAAGTACTCCGATGTGAACGCGCCTATTGTTGCTTTAGACCCTAGTGTCGGAAAATCACATGTTGTGCATTTTAAATACTCTGTATTTGTGACTTTCTTTAAAATATTTCATGTATTTTTGAAGTTGTTCTGCCCCTTTTCATTGTCCCTTTAAGATGATGTGTGTCTCTTTGCCTCTGTTGTGCAGCCATTGAAGTTATTGTATGTTACTTTGCAGTCATTTTGAGTCTCTTTCTTGGGGTTAGGGTCTCTTCTACATCGTAGCTCGACACATCGACTTTATAGTAGTTTAGCCTCTCGTTATTGATCTATAATTTACGATACGATAATACTTGAATGGTCAGATCAAGTCTGAAATTTGACATGCATCACAAAGCAGCTCCATGTGTAACATCAACATAGACAGTTATCAAGACACAATACATGAACAACAAATAGCATAATATACCTTATATATTTTAAACAAGACACAATGACGACATTTGACACCACCAAACTCTTTGTTTAAAACCCTAGTGTCACAAAATCACCGCTTCTGCATTTGAAATCTTTTGCATTTGTGACTTCTAACCCTATATCTGTGTGTGTCTTCAGCTGAGCAGTGTGAAGGGTCTCCTGAGCTGCAAGGATAGCGACGGCTGCACCCCGCTGCACTACGCCTGCAGACTGGGGGTCCACGAATGTGTGAAGAACATGCTCGGTCTCTCGGGGCAAGTGGGCCTCGCCTGCAAGTCCAAGGACAAGAAGTCTGCTCTGCACTTCGCCGCTCAGTGAGTTCCATTGGTCCCCGAGGGCATGACTCCACATATCCTCCGGCTAAACTATGCTAATTTATAACCTGATTCTCACCAAAAGTTGCTCCAACTTTTAGCAGATTTGATCAGAGAAGTTTGAGAAGTGTCACAGAGGCTGATATTGACCGTATGGGAGCATGCACTGCTTTTATAGTGCAAGCTACATCATTTAGTTTAGCAGAAAAGCTGCATTTACTTTCCACACAACGCAATTTATGTTCTGCTTTTGGAGAATAGCTTCATTATTAAGGAGAAGCCCTCTTCTTCCTTGTCTTAAAACCCCATCCCTCTGTAACAAGTGTTATGTATCGATCAATGAGACCACAGGCATTAATCCTAACCGTCCCTTCAGAGGACTTTGACTTACCGTCCTCCTTAAGCCAAGACCTTTATCTCTGTAATTGAACAACAGTGGTCAGATGAAAAATGAGCAACGTGTCGACATTTGAAACTGTCTCCTTCCTGCTCCGCGAGAAATCCCAGCTCACAAAACCCTTCTCAAGATTAATCGCCGTGAAATACCTATTACGCTTAGTGACCCAAAGGAACTGCGACAAGAATATAATTCAATTAGCGGGCACATGAGAGAAAGTGTCACTAATAGAGTGAGGACATCCAACATTATCGTTATGGATTTTTCTATCATGTACATCTGTTTCATTCCAGGCAGAGGGCAAATGAAGGCCGCGCTGTGATATCATGTGGAGATCTCATTTATTCCCAACGCAGCGACACAAAGTGCTGCTGACCCGCTTAACAGGTTCGGAGACAAAGAGAGATCAGAGTCTGTTTATGTCCTCTGCAGAGAATGAGTCATTACATTACTGTAACTCCTACACTGTGTGTTACCTGCAGGTTCATGCATTTTAAGAAATTAATTAAGTATTAATGAAGCTATTCTCCAACAGCAGAACAGAAATGGGGCGAAGCCTGCGAGCTAGTTCAGGCAGTCAACTCGAGCACTTATGCTGCATTCATACATAACGCCCCTTGCCACTCTACAACCAACCAAACAGAGTCTCCTTAATATGCCGCTCTATTTAACCTGCAGATCTCTCTCCATGCATTGCTAGCTGCAGCTACTCTACGTCGCTGCTGCTTGCTGCCCCACCACCACCCCAACTTCCACCCCAGCTTCCACCCCAGCTTCCACCTGTAGGCTCGGGGGTTAGTTATTTAATCATCACTCATCGTGCTATGTATATCTATGGAGTGATGATGCCGAGCCTAGTCGCCAAACTCAACTATATGCTGCTTCTAATAGACATGTTAAAGGAACACGTGAGTTGTCTGACTGAAATTGCATTGTGTAGAAAGTAAATGCAGCTTTTCTGCAAAACTAAATGATATAGCTTGCACTATAAAAGCATGCACCCATACTGTCACTATTAGCATCTGCGACACTTCTTAAACTTCTCTGATCAAATCTGCCATCACTTCCATAACGCCTGTGGTCTCATTGATCGATACGTAACACTTGTTTCAGAGGGCTGGGGTTTTAAGACAAGGAAGAAGAGGGCTGCACTTTCTCCTTAATATTAAAGCTATGTCTTAAGTGGGTTTTAGCAACAAGCTCCAACATTTCATTTGTATCTGTTCCGTTCATGGTATGCACAACTTAATGCATAACTATTACTTACAAAACATGTCTCTATAAACACACCGTACCCGAAAAGGAGCAGGGAGAAGGAAATAATCGCCCCTTTCTCAAAAAAATAAAACAAATAGAAATAGATCAGGGGGGTCAAACTCAATTTCATCACGGGCCACATCAGCATTATGGGTGCACTCAAAGGGCCGGTTGTAATTTTAAGACCATATATATATATATATATATATATATATATATATATATATAAACATACATATATAAATATTTAATATAAAATAATGTATTATATTACTTTATTGCCTCTGCATTGGATTATTATCGGATAGGGTAAAAACTTCATAAATAACTACGTCTGAAAGAAGAAGCCTGGGGCAAATAAGTGCAAGTCTCTTCAGCGAGAATGTCACAACATTATTTTAAAAGAAAAGCCAAATTCTGAAAAAAGTGACATTTAAATTAAAAAAAAGGTGACATTTTGAAAAAAAAGTAACAATAAAAAGAAAATCAAGATGCATTGTGGGACATGTAGTTTATGGACATCGTGCTTCTGTAAATCGGCCTGTAACCGTATAATAAACATATTACATTCTTTCAGAGCTCTTGCGGGCCACATGAAATGAAGTCACGAGCCGGATTTGGCCCCCGGGCCTTGAGTTTGAGACCCCTGAAATAGATGGTCTCTCCTTCATCTTTTCTTATTCACAGCCACTCACAACAGTATGGTAGGAAAATAAGACAAACATAAAAATGTACAAAAATGAAATACTTAGTTCCCACTTGACGGTTAACGGAAACATGAAAAACAAGGTAAAGTGCATCTGAGAATTACTGGAGCTCACGTACTAAACACACACACACACACAGCTCCCTCCTGCCTACCTGACGGAGGGAATGACAACGGAGAGGAATTAATAACGTTTTCAACCAAAAGCAACGCAAGTTTCTGCATTTTTTACAAACAAAACATGTACACTTATACCGATTGGTTTTTTATAGCGCATGGTGGAAAGGTACGACGGAGTGTTAGGGCCACACTTAGAAAAAAAACAGAGAGATTTCGAGAATAAAGTCGTAATGTTACGAGAATAAAGTCGTAGTTTCATAAGTGACTTGGAGGAGATTGTCTCCTTTCTGCAGGAGGAAATGGTTCTGGCCGACTACATTACATCACTTTGCATTTAGCTGAGGCTTTTATCCAAAGCGACTTACAATAAGTGCGTTCGACCAACAAGATACAACCTTGAAGAAAACAGAATCATAAAGTACATCAGGTTTCATAGAGCAAAAACATTTCAAGTGCTTCTCAACTGGCTTTAGGTAAGCCAGTCCTTTATAAGTATATAAGTGCTTTGTTAATAGTTCTATCGCTCGAAGTGGAGTCGAAAGAGATGAGTTTTCAGTCTGGAAGGTGTGTAAGCTTTCTGCTGTCCTGATGTCAATGGGGAGCTCATTCCGATTCCACTACAAGGCTATCGTTCGACTCCTTCTGGATCCAAAGCCTTGATTACAAGTCTCATCGTTTCTTGTGAAAGAACAAATCCCCTTTGACCAGCTCGTAGATGTAACCAACGATAGCCTTGTAGTCGGCCAGAAGCAGCCATTTCCTCCTGCAGAAAGGAGACACTCTCCTCCAAGTCCGTTTGGTTCTTTCTTAGACATCGTTTGTTGCACAACCTTTTCAAAGTTCTAACACTTATGATAATAGTATTTAGTTATTTGAGAAACCTAAAGTACTGCTTCACAAGATGCTCCACATTCCTCATTGTATTGCAGGACGCTGCTGTTGTCTCCTTCTCAAGTCACTTATGAAACTACGACTTTAATCTCGTATTATTACGACTTTATTCTCGAATTATTACGACTTTATTCTCGAAATCTCTCTGGTTTTTATTTTCTAAGTGTGGCCCTAACACTCCGTCTTAGCAGGGAGAAGAACATCGTATTCGACCTGCTCCTTCTTTAAAAAAATAACATCAACAAAAAGTTAAATAAAGCAATATTCTTTCAGTTGTTTACAAATACTGAAATATAAAACCAGAACACAATCCAAAGTCAACTTCATACTGATTACGCTTTCTTTATACATTTTCTTAAACATAAAAATGTTAATTTCAGAGATCAACCCCTTTCTTCTCCTCTTCTTGCACTATTTGTATTTTATGTTTTATTAGATATGTTGCATTGTTGGAGGAGCTCAGGTCTGAAGAATGTCATTGCCATTTCTACCCTGTAGCTGCTGACGATAAAACCTTTGAGTCTTTCCTCTCCTCTTCTTCTCTAAGGTTCGGGCGCATCAACACGTGTCAGCGGTTACTGGAAAGCATCATGGACTCTCGTATTCTGAACGAAGGAGACGAGCGAGGCCTGACTCCTCTGCACCTCGCCTCCAGAGAGGGCCACACCAAGGTGGTCCAGCTGCTGCTGCGCAAAGGAGCCCTCTTCCACAGGTAACGCACGGGAACACATGCACAGACATAACAGGATATGCTGTCATCCATGTGCGCTTAAGTTACTTGCAGTGGTTATCTTGTTTCAGGCTTTTCGTTCATTCACTGTTCGTACTAACCTAAAAAAGGTAATGCACGTTAATGTGAAAACAGCACAGTTTTAATGTCAAACTGAATCTACCTGACTTACTGTTGACATACGAATGTTACGTACCTTATTCCAATTCGATTAGTTACGCTTCTCGGACCCTACAATCGTATCCTTCACGTTAACAGGAAGTTGTATTATCTAACAATCGTCCACACTGATGTACCTTGGTTGGAAAAGACACAACAAATGACAAATGAACTTTTCATAAGACACCATATGTGTTACGGTGAAGCAAGCAGGACCCAAACGCAGATAGCACTGAAAATTCCTTTATTTCACTATAACACTCCCCGGTGAACACAGTCACATACAAACGACGAACCGACAAAGACAGACAGAAAAACCAGAACTTAAATACACACAAGACTAATCACACAAACAAGACACAGCTGAGGAGGGAGGAGAAAACACAGGGGCACCAGGTGAACACAATCGGGTAATCAGACACACCAGGGAAACTAACGACAGGGAACCACAGACAGATCCAAACAAGACAAAACACAACGCAGACAGAAAACCACAGACAGATTTAGACAAGACAAAACACCATAAAGACAGATCGTGACAATATGAGCCTTTCCATCAGGATCCGTTGTTTACTGTGAGAGGTCAAAACTCCAGAAACGTTTCACTATAAAGACGGTCATCCTTTACTTTTTCCTCTGCAGACCTTTTTATTAACTTTGCAGTCAATACACTCTGGTAGTGATGTTACGTGTTGCGCCGAGGCTTCGGAGCGTGTGTCGAGTAAGCCCCGAAGCTTTTTGTGAAGCTTGTATCGAGGCTTGTATCGTGTTGGGCCAGTGACGTCATCGATGACAAACGAAGCTTCGCTGCCTGTCGTTACCACGTGACTGCTTCACGAAGCAATTCAGATCGGTTGAACCACAACGCTCATATTACCCATGGATGTATAATAAGAACCATATTACCCCTCCTGTACCCGCTGGTGACACGATGGAATCAAGAGAGCTCAGACCCTCACTCATATAGAGGTCGGAACATGTCATAAGTATAAATAGATACAAGCATAAATACATGTAGGAATAAAAACATGAATACATAAATGAATAAATACAGGAATAAATATAGTGCAGTGTTTTCAGGGACATTCAGTGTGTGTGCTGTGGCTCAGCTGGAAAGCAGTTGACTCATGACCGCAGGGTCCCTGGTTCAACGACTGAACAATACGTATTTTTTGTTGTTTATAAAAGCTACAGCTAAATGAGATAATGTAGTTAATAAATGTATTCTTTGATATGGTTTAGCCTTTCTCAGGCTACAACATGGTTAAGTTTATGAATTTATTAAGGAATACAAATCCCTCTTTGCAATGTTTAGCAGCCTCCTTAGGCTTTTCAATCACAATCATTAAACTGGAATAAAAACAATATTTTTAACATGAAAATATGATTTAATGTTCGTTGTCTAGAGTTATTCTAAGGCTTTACTCATTGGGAACTCGGTATGAGATAGAGCACACTGTTGAGATGTCCAACCTGCCTGTTGTACACACTTTGACCAGCAGGAGGGTTGTGTTCAAATGAAGCCCATGATGAAGCCTCATGAGATGAACCCGAACCAATTGGCTGGAAAGCTTCATAAGGCTTCGTCTCGCCATCACTACACTCTGGTCTCCATGCACTACAGAAGTTATTCCACAAACCTCTCCTCTACTTCACAGTGATTACAAGGACTGGACGTGTCTGCACCACGCTGCCTCTGTAGGATACACACAGACGATGGAAATCCTGCTTTCAGCCAACATCAAGTTACTGGATAAAAAGGACGAGGACGGGGTTAGCATCACAATTAACATCTATCCAAACGTGTAGAAAAACCTACTTAATTCTGTTTCCTGTCTGCAGAGCACGGCCCTGCACGTGGCGGCGAAAGCAGGTCACGTTGCTGCGGTGAACCTCCTGCTGGCTCGGGGTGCAGAAATCACTTTGAACAACAACGACAGCTCCTTTATGCACGAAGCTCTGCAGAACGGGAGGAAAGACGTGGTGAACGCAGTCATCGATAGTGACAGGTTCATGTTTTAGTATTAATGTTATTACTGCTTCACTCAGGGCTGGGAGGGTTACTTTTAATATTAAATCCATTACAATAAGAAGTAGTTTATTGATTGATTTTTTAGTTGTAGCAGCATAAAGACAAGGTAATTCTTTCACACACAGTCACGTCACGAGCTACCCACAATGCAACATGCGCCATATATATATATATAAATACGCCATTTTCATGAAGGTGCAAATATCCTGGAGGTGCAAATATAAACAGCTAGCTAACGTAGCCAGGCAGAGCGCACTAGGTTTTTATTCTGAATTAACGACCGAAGAAATCGCTGCATGTCTTCGGATTACATCTCTAGACTTGAGGGTGTGCTCTAGGTCGTTACCAGCGTAAACTAGAGCTGTGTGGGTTGTCGGATTGCCCTTAAGGCCCTGTCACACTGTCCCGAAATTGACACCCGATGGACACACGATAAAGGAAATGTTCAAATTCGGCTGTGATCGTAGCAACATCGGGCCATTCGTGAGGGCATTGCCATCGTATGACCGCCGGTGGAGGTTCTCAGGCTCCGGCAGCAACTTAGTGAGCGGCAACTTCGTAAGGCACTCGTGAGGGCATCTTGTCAAATCGTGTCATCTTCGTGTTATCATCGGTGCCATCGGGCATTCGCCCTCACTCTGATCGGGGTGAATGCCCGATGGCACCGATGATAACACGATGCCCTCACGATGGCCTTACGAAGGGCAACATTTACACACGAATTCAACACGAAAATGAACCTTCCCAAGGTCCTTCGGCAATTTTTTGGCATGCCAAAAATGTTGCCACCGCTCACGAAGTTGCTGCCGGAGCCTGAGAAACTCCACCGGCGGTCATACGAAGGCTTAAGATGCCCTCACGAATGGCCCGATGTTGCTACGATCACAGCCGAATTTGAACATTTCCTTTATCGTGTGTCCATCGGGTTTTTTATTGCACAACAAAATCATGTAAATATATTATGTAAATAACCCAATTTGTGTTCTGTGAAACTAAAAAGGATATAATATATTATTTTGAAGGACAGTTGACAGGAAGTTGTTGTTGTTATGGAAACAACATTACGGAGAAAACGTAATATTTTCTACATATAACGACGGATAAAGTAAAGAACAAAGTCTGAAGATATCAGTACAGTATCATAGTACTGTAACACAATTGTTTTTGGTACTTTCATTGCAGTTGTATGTCTTAAATGTAATGTAAATGTTGCCTTCGTGTGTGGTTCGGGGCCATCATCGTGCGAAATTCACAATTCCATATTCGTGTGTCCATCGGGAGTCAATTTCGGGACAGTGTGACAGGGCCTTTACAGACTGCGTCGATTTTGGCAGCATCTACGTCTATCTTCTGGAAACACCAGGTGAATACCCCACTTGTCACAATAATATTATCATGCCAATGCATATATGTGGTATTTTAGAGTTGACTAGATATTGATTAAGGCAATAGACTATGATATTCAGTACAGGAAGCTTAGCAACACCTAGACGGTGTACGGCTAAACCCTCGGCCTGCTTGCACCTCGCGTAAAACGGCAGATACCGGAAGTACGGTGTCGCCCTCGGCCCAATACCCGTATGTGTGTGTGAAAGAATTTACATAAGAGAAAATTAAAACACCAGAAATAAACAATCCACAATGTAAACATCTCAATAGAAATAAAATAGCATTAACTGGTATGTAAGAAGTAACATAGTGTCAACATGTTACCTATCTTGGTATCCTGAGAATCTCTACTTTAAGATGCTTTTGTTTTTGTTTTTCTTGCAGAGTGAGTGAGTCTCTGATCACGTTCACCCCCGGCTCCAGCCGTGAGTGTCCCATATTGGAAATGATTGAGTTTCTGCCTGAGACCTACAAGGTTTGAGACATGCAAAGGAAGAAAAGGCCTCTGATTGGGTCTCTTCTCGTATTGTTAAAGCTTCTGTTTCTCTCCCACAGCACCTGATGGACTGCTGTGTGACCGAGTCTGAGCACGACCACAACAGTCCTGATTATCATGTAGCGCTTCGACAAGTTGCATTTTGAAACAGAAAAACATCACACAGTATTTATAGTATAAAACATATTCCAGGCTTAACAGTTGTGCATGTTTTTGTGTAGATTGATTACAGTTTCCAGTGGCTCCAGGCTCCACTCAAAGCCATGAAAATGTATAAAGACAAGAACGTGAAGATCCAGCCGCTCGCTGCGCTCAACGTGAGACTATTGATGTTCTCATGCGTGTGTCTTCTGTTTGATATCATATCTCATTCTCCTATGCATGGTTCCTTTGCAGTCAATACACTCTGATCGATACTCTTATTCTCAAGCAATTTGGGAATTGACGGCCTTACTGTTTACGAAGAGTTGCAGCTTCAAATCGAAGTGATGCATGACAGATTTACTCTCTCAAACCTCCGTTAACTCCCACTTTTACTGGAGCTTTCTCCCCATCCACAGAATCATAACGTTTATGACTATCAATCGTTCTTTATCGATCAGTTCGACTTCTCTCACTTCCTTCCTAATCCACCTTTCCGCAATGTGCCTTTCTGGCGAAGCTCCAAATGCAACTTTTTCTCGGAAATGCAGAATATGTATTTGGGATATTATTATTTGGATGGATTACAGAACCACAAACAATCTCCTCTTCCCCCATGTGACAGAGACGCCTTCATTATTTCCGTAGGAGATCAATATGATGCTTTTAAACCTTTGAGGCTTTCCCCTATTATAGAAAATTCTTGTAGCATTGGTTGCATTTTCAAATCGAAGTATCTATCAGTTCAACTCCTACTTCCTCCCCACCTCCTTCCTATTCAATCTTGCCGCAATGTGCCTTTCTGACAAAGCTCCAAATTAAAAATTTTCTCGGAGACGTGAGATATTTATTTGGGATATTATTATTTGGATGGATTACGGAACCGCAAACAATCTCATCTTCCACTTGCTCCGTCATTATATCCCTAGAGATCAATATGATGTTTTTAAACCTTTGAGGCTTTCCCCTATTGTGCTGTACACTCATGGTTTGTGCTGGGTGTATGGGGGTTCAGTTTATGAGTGTGACTTTAAATCTGGATGGAGATTCGCGGGGTTTATTGATGTGTATAAATAGAGGGGATACATAAATTAACGTCATTGAGATTGAGGAATCAGGAGAGGCCACTAGTAAGTGTGATTATTATATTGAATGTGATTTAATGTGTATGGGATATGTGTAATCCTAATTGGTGTATTGGTGTTGTCCTTTTTCTTCTAAGGTTAACAACCTATTTAGATTTGATTAAATCATCAAAACTAGGAGTTGTTTCCGTCCATCTTGATTCCACCCATACTGTCGGGAGATAGACAGTACACCTATTATAGACAATTCTTGTAGCATTGGTTGCATTTTCAAATCGAAGTATCTATCAGTTCAACTCCTACTTCCTCCCCACCTCCTTCCTATTCAATCTTTCCGCAATGTGCCTTTCTGACAAAGCTCCAAATGCAACTTTTTCTCGGAGATGTGAGATATTTATTTGGGATGTTATTATTTGGATGGATTACGGAACCGCAAATCCTCCACTTGCTCTGTCATGATATCCCTAGAGATCAATATGATGCTTTTAAACCTTTGAGGCTTTCCCCTCTTGTAGAAAATGTGCCGATTCTTGTTGGTTAATCTTCCTGTTGTCCCTGCAGGCGATGGTGAAGTACAACCGCATCGAGCTCCTCAACCACCCCGTGTGCAAAAAGTACCTCGCTATGAAGTGGTGCGTATAGCAAGAGGAAGAACATGGGTTGTTCTGCAGACTGCACCAGATTTAAACGCATTATTAATGTGGAGGAAATCCCCTTGAGAGAAACTGATAAATGGTTCTTTGACTAAGTTTGTCTTTCGTTATATGTAATAAAGTAACACAAGTGAAATCGATCTCAAATGGACAGACAGACAAACTTTGTCCATGAATCTTTTATCTCTTAAGAATTTCCTCCACAGTATCAATTATGATTTGATAAAGTGACACAACAATGAACTGTTTGCAGGTTTGCGTACGGCAGCACGATTCACATCCTCAACATGGTGATGTACCTGATGGGTCTGCTGCCCCTCACTCACCTCATCGTGATGCAGAGACCGGCTCTGAACACCAGCGACACCGGAGAGCATCACGTCGTCATGGTGCCCACCTCCTTCGTCGAGGTAAACACCGTGAAACTAGTGAATGTCCTCTTCCAGCATGAGAGTAGCTGATACCAAAGGTGTCCCAACTGTAGCTGTGAACATGACAGGATGTGTGATTACCTAGAAGAGCATCAGGACTGTTTGAGGCAGATGATAGCTATGTGATTAACATGATGATTCAGCCTCTATGGAGAGAGACATCAAGCATGCTCATTTCTGACGTGGAGCTAATCTGAACTAAACATTGAATACTGCTTTCTATTCCTCCATCTTGTGACTGTGTAACTCCCTCTCTTGGATATCAGCATGTGAAGGACACTGTTCAGGAACTAGTTGATGCTCTGTATGTGATGACTCCTTCCAGATTTTGAGGAAAAGTCCGAATTTTGAGATTTTGTGGAAGTCAGAGTTTTGCAAAAAAGGCAACATTTTGTAAAAAAGTCAAAACATTTGTGAAAAAGTCAGAATTTTGAGAAAAAGTCAGAATTTTAAGAAAAAGTCAGAATTTTAAGAAATGTTGAGAAAAAGTTAGAATTTTCCGATTTAGAGAAAAAGTCAGTATTTTGTTCATGACAGCAGGATGTATGATTTCCTAGAAGAACCGGTATACCTCCATCTTGTGACTGTGTAACTCACTCTCTTGGATATCAGCATGTGAAGGACACTGCTCAGGAACTAGTGGATGCTCTGTATGTGATGACTCCTTCCATTCTGGAGAGGATCACAGATACATGGATCCTGATATGTACACAATCTAAACATATATTTAACTCAATATCTTTCCTTTCACAGCAAACCGTGTTCCTGTCCTTCTGCATGATGATGGTGTTTGTGATGAACATCTACTTCATAGGGAAGGAGCTGGTGCAGATATCACAACAGGTACTTCTGCAGGAAAGCTCACATTTATTTTATTTATTCATTTATTTAAGGGACAGTGCACATTAATGCAACGAAGCAGTGCTCATAAATCTGTCTGTGTTGCACACCCGAAGGACATGCAGTTGTTGAGTCCTGATGTACAGTAAAAACACATTCTAGTCTTTTCTTAGGATGCAACGCACTCATTAACACAGCTTCTGTCTTATGAATCTGACACGGTGTGAGACGTCTTTTTTAGCTGTTCTGTCGTCATTTCCTGCGATCTTCTTCCTGCAGTCAGTCAGAATGAATATTAATACGGGGCGTTTCTTTGACTGTTTATAGGCAAATATGGGCGTTACGTGAAGCCCGCAAAAGCTGTGCCCTACGCCGGTACGCATTGTTTTGTAAATCGGAAAATGTCTGTATTTATTTGCTTTGTCCGACGTACGCAACCTTCCCACGTGAATCCTACGCAAGGCGTTATAAATGAGGCCCCTGCTCTCCATTACAAGGGACATTTAAAGTAAAAGTTACATCATTAAGAAGGAAATCTGTCCTGTTGAACGATGCATTTAATGATCATTTTGTGTCTTTTCTCGTCACTTTAAGCGCTGGAATTACTTCAAGGATTATTCCAACCAGAGCGACTGGTTTTCCGCCGTGCTCTCGCTCCTCTTCATCGTCCCCACCATGATGAACGCTGAAGGCTCTCTGCACTGGCAGGCTGGATCTCTGGCTGTGTTGAGCTCCTGGATCGGATTCCTGCTTTACCTGCAGAGGTAATGCTCACCTATTATACATCAACATGTGTCCCCTCTTCTTCATGTCTCTCCTACATCAACATGTGTCCCCTCTTCTTCATGTCTCTCCTACATCAACATGTGTCCCCTCTTCTTCATGTCTCTTCTACATCAACATGTGTCCCCTCTTCTTCATGTCTCTTCTACATCAACATGTGTCCCCTCTTCTTCATGTCTCTTCTACATCAACATGTGTCCCCTCTTCTTCATGTCTCTTCTACATCAACATGTGTCCCCTCTTCTTCATGTCTCTTCTACATCAACATGTGTCCCCTCTTCTTCATGTCTCTTCTACATCAACATGTGTCCCCTCTTCTTCATGTCTCTTCTACATCAACATGTGTCCCCTCTTCTTCATGTCTCTTCTACATCAACATGTGTCCCCTCTTCTTCATGTCTCTCCTACATCAACATGTGTCCCCTCTTCTTCATGTCTCTTCTACATCAACATGTGTCCCCTCTTCTTCATGTCTCTTCTACATCAACATGTGTCCCCTCTTCTTCATGTCTCTTCTACATCAACATGTGTCCCCTCTTCTTCATGTCTCTTCTACATCAACATGTGTCCCCTTCTTCATGTCTCTTCTACATCAACATGTGTCCCCTCTTCTTCATGTCCTCTTCTACATCAACATGTGTCCCCTCTTCTTCATGTCTCTTCTACATCAACATGTGTCCCCTCTTCTTCATGTCTCTTCTACATCAACATGTGTCCCCTCTTCTTCATGTCTCTCCTACATCAACATGTGTCCCCTCTTCTTCATGTCTCTTCTACATCAACATGTGTCCCCTCTTCTTCATGTCTCTTCTACATCAACATGTGTCCCCTCTTCTTCATGTCTCTTCTACATCAACATGTGTCCCCTCTTCTTCATGTCTCTTCTACATCAACATGTGTCCCCTCTTCTTCATGTCTCTTCTACATCAACATGTGTCCCCTCTTCTTCATGTCTCTTCTACATCAACATGTGTCCCCTCTTTCTCCATGTCTCTTCTACATCAACATGTGTCCCCTCTTCTTCATGTCTCTTCTACATCAACATGTGTCTCCTCTGTGGAAAGAGACTCTGAAAGTTTCAGGAACAAAGATTTTCTCTCTTTTTGATCCATTTCTATAAAAACCTGTCTAAAAATGAGCTGATCAGATTTTGGCCACTTTATGATGTCATAACGATGTGTTGTCTTGTGTAACCATTAGCCAATCAGCAACCAAGGTAACCCCCCCCCCCCCCTTATCACCTGAATCTCCTCCTAGAGCTCCATTGAGTTCTTTGTAACCAAATGTCTCTCAGAGGGGCGTGGGGAGGGGCTCCTTATTTTCATAAAGTAACAGACAGAGAATCAGCACTTTGGAAACAGGGCTGAAACAGAGGGGATTATGGGTAATGCTGCAATGATCTGTTTGGTGTTTCAGCCAATCAGAGACAGGCTCTGTATATATCTGAGACCTGGGCTGCAGTCGAATAGTCCGTTTTAGAACCTTCCTAACGGAGTGAAATGACCCGGAAGTCCCTCAGTGGCAGCCATGATAAGAGCCGTTAGAATTCTCTAGATGAAAGGAAAGGAGGTTTCAAACTTCCTTTATAACCTCCTTTAGCTTAGGAACCACTGGACCTCCCTAACCGAAAGGAGAGGAGAAAATGCTGCCCCACAATGCCTTGCGGCCGCAGCATTTGCCGTCACTCAACAGTCGGCCGTTCACGGAAACAACCGATTATGACGGAGAAATGATATCATGAAAGTTACGGTGCTTATTAAGCATTTTAAAACGTATGTGGTAAGTTGCCAAAGTGCTTTGTTCTGAACGTTCATCAGTATTATAATGAAAGAGAAATATGAACGTTAGTTTTTAACGTGGACCGGAGGGAGAGGGAGACGAGCAGAAGCTTCACTTTCCTTTTTATTTCAATTCCAGCTTTGGTCCTGAAGAATCTGTTTCTCTGTTGTCCCCGTTCATAAAGCATAAAGCAGCAGCGTCAGAGCACAGAGTCTCTAGATGAGTTCACAGGAGTCCCTCGTTCTTATTGAACATCCATGTTGTAGTCCGCTGTATAGAGAACTGTAGTCTCCATAGTTTCCCCACAGCAGCAGACGCTCATTCAGGACGTCCGCTGGAGCATCAGAAACACGTCGGATAGTGAAAGTGCAGTCGATTCTCTAAAGTACCGCGGTCTCTTCTCCTAAGTCCTTTTGAATTCTCCTATCCACTATCCCTTAACCCCGTGACCTTTCACTCAGAGGTCAAGAGATAGACGATAGGGTTAGAACTTAGGAGCTGATTTTTGGACTGTTCGACCGCAACCCTGGAATACATTGAACAACATTGTAATAGGGGACCTTTAAAGATGTTGTTTTTCTGATCAAAAATCGTTTTATTGCGTTTCGACATTTGGGTCATTCCAGAATTGGAGGACAATTTAGACTCCAACATTTTAGAAAAATGAACCTTTTATTTTCTAATTTGTTTTAATGTATTTAGGAAAAACAGATAATAAACCATCAAAAAAAGTGATTTTCCCAGCTAGGCATCACATGTATATTTTCCAATGAAGAATTACCCCTGTTCTAATTATAGTAACAGGGTTGAAATCAATGCTACTTTGAGCTTTAACCTCAGGAAGTATTGCTAGATGTAGCATGTAATGCTACTTTCAAGGCAAGGACACACTTTATCTAATGCAAGAAAGATAACTTTGAAATGAATATGCTTTATTCTGATAATATGAGTAACAGGGCTGAGTGGGTCAGAGTGCCACACTCTTCTAAGACTGAAAAGATTGTAAAAATATGAAAAATAAAAGAGGACTTAGTTGTGGTCTACCCATGGCACTAGCACATGGCTTGCGATGTCACTTCCTGTGTCATCTGATTTACAGTTTGTTCACTTCGCCAATCTAAAAAGGTTTGGGTAACAGGGTTGAACGCATGTTGAGGGACACACCTTCTGTGCAACATTACTGTTATCTAAAATATGTTTATGATTTAACAAATTGATTTTACCATTACAAGAGACATTTATCAATAGAATAATACCAACAAAAGTAAATACAATCCCTATTTTAAATGTTATATTTGACGCAAGTTGGTCACCAAGAAGCGGGGACAAGAGAAAATGCCATGTTAGCGGATGTTCGAGAGCTATTTGATCATTTCAATAATATTTTTAAACCACTTTTTCTACAACTTTATATACATTTTGTCTCAAGACAAGTATGTTTAACACAACAAGTGCATGTTTTAGCATTTTGGGCATGGATTATTAGGGGTACATGAAATGTCCTCCAATTCTGGAATGACCCATAAGTAATGTTTGTCATTTAGAAGTGGAAAGCTAAATATATGCATACAAATGAGACAATGGTCTGTACTGATTGTATGTACAAAGAGAAAAAAAGAATTACAAAGAACACAAACAAACAATAACAACGACTAAAGTAATCCCATACGTTCACCGAGCCTCATACACACGATTGAACATCTTGTTTTTAAAGGTGTACAGGTGAATAACTGCTGCTGTTTCTGCAGGTTTGAAGGTGTAGGAATCTACGTGGTGATGTTCTGGGAGATCATGAGGACGCTGATACGCATCGTGATGATTTTCCTGTACCTGATGCTAGCGTTCGGATTGGCTTTCCACGCTCTGATGCTCAACCAGGTACGAGAGGAAAGAGAAAAATCACAATTCAATAAAGTTAAGAGCTTTGAAATCCTTGTTTTGCCATGATCAACTATAGCTGGAGCTAACAAAACAATGATCCTACGAGTAGAACGAAGGCCATTTTGCAATAAATACCAAATGATTCATCCTCTAGGGAGCACGAATACTATGCTAAGCTAACTAGCTGCTGGCGGTATCTTCATATCGACGATTCAGACATCAAAGAGGGAATCATCAAAGAAAAGCTTATGTTATATTTAAGCAATAGCTCACGACAGGCCGTGGTATATGCTCATTATATCACAGCTAAGGGCGCGGTTCGGCCCGACGCGCAGCGGTTACCAAGTGTGGCAATATGAAAGAAAAACACACTCTAATTTAAATAGTTTTTATTAGTAAATAATGATGTTAAAAATAAAATAGTCCCTCTGTTGCCTTCTGCACGAAACATAGTGCGAGGTGGTTGCTATGCAACAACACTAACAGCTAGCGAACACATTAGACAGAGAGCGTTGATCCATTATTTGGCTATTTATTTACATTCATGTGTTTGTTGCCGTTTATTGTGCAGCCACTGAAAACCTGTCCAGCATCAGTAGCATGCTTACGAGGTTACTTGTATAGGTTGAGGTTGTTCTAGTCCAGGGGTTCCCAACCTTTTTTCCCAAGAGCCCCCCCAAATGACTCCTGTTGGAAGTTGCGCCCCCCCCACATACACACACAGGGGGGGGCGGTAATTAAGGTTTCAAAGTCTCAAAATGCTACAACTACTGTCACAAACTGGATGAATGTGAAGTATGTTGTTAAAGGAGGGTGAAAGCGTAATCAAGGAGCACTATTGGAGCGACTTTGATGGTTATTGGACTCAGGATTCATTCATTTGGATTCCCGCTGAATGAAGAAATTAAAGGACGGCGGAAGTGGAAACAATTCACAAAGGGATTAAACTGTTTAAAACACATGCTCAAAGTAAGCCGGATTTTGCCGATGTGTTTATGTGGATTCAAAAGTCGTAAATAATCTACAAAATGGAGGAGACCGATCTGATCGGAGCGACTGTGACAAATAATCCAACTGAAACCGGCATGGACAATGACTGTTTTAAACATGCGCTTATCCAGACAAGCCTGGTTTGGACACTTTACGCGCAGAAGAAAAATTTCTATTAAAGAAAGAATTATACATTTCTGTCTTTTTATGCCTTTAATACTAACTTGAATTTTCAAATTAATTAATCAATTATTTTTTATATTTTATTGTAATGTAGAGACAAGGCTTTTAGTGATAATCATGTATTACGTTACAATTATATGTAAAAAAAAAAAAAAAAAAAATCTAAATATGATATTTGGCCTCAAATCATCTGAGGCCTGGCGCCCCCCCTGCGATCTTTGGCGCCCCCCAGGTTGGGAACCGCTGTTCTAGGCTGTTGCTTGGCTTGGTGTGAATATTGCTCCACTTTCTCCGGTCCCTGAGATTGGGCTTCCAGCAGCTCTGGAGAGAGCTTTCGCACCTGTGGCCACTAACGCTCATCATGTCTCTGCTTTGTTTCAAGACCCGCGTCAGAAAGCTTTTGAATGGTGCTACTTGTTTCCCAGTTGGTCTGCCTGCTCTTCACGTAGCTCTGCATGTCGTCGTGTGGGTGCTTATTTTTCTGGAGATAGGCACTGCTCAATCCACTCCTCCATAGTAAGACCACCCCGGAGGTCCAAGTTAACCTTAAATGTTTCCATGTTAAGCTTTGTTAGTTAGTTAGTTTCGTAACGGACGTAATGTAACAGTTTTTCTCAGAGGCGGAGGGATACTGACTTGTGAAAAGTAACTATAATTCTACCCGTGATATACGCTCATTATATCACGGCTAAGAGCCAATCAGATTGCTTGATTTGACTTGTCCGTTTTATAATTCTCTTTTAAACTCATGTTGGCATTATACAACACAGGCACAGGGAGCAGAGTTATAATACTATTAATAATAATAGATTAGATTTGTAAAGCTCCTTTCAAGGGACCCTAGGCCGCTTTACATGGTGAACAAACAAACAAGAGGGGCAAATAATAAAGTACAAATTAAATAAATAGCAGTATGAGTGGAAGCAGGGTACTGTGATGGGTTAGGGGTCAAAGGCCATGCTGAACAGGTGAGTTTTAATGATGACTTGAAGATGTCAAGGGAAGCAGCATTGCGGATCTCTGCATTTTCATAATCTTTAAAAACAAGCATTTAAATATTATCATTGCACAAACTTGTGCTCCAGTATTCAACTTGAAGAGATATCGATGTTTCTTTCCTGTTCCTCCCTCAGAGAGAGTTTGACAGCGTGCCTCTGTCGGTGGTCCAGACCTTCGTGATGATGGTGGGCGAGCTGAACTACCAGAACAACTTCCTGGACACGTACCTGAAGAACGAGCTGCCCTTCGGACTCCTGACCTACACAATCTTCATAATCTTTGTTCTGCTCATGCCCATCCTGCTGGTCAACCTGATGGTGAGTCTCTGGATCCTCACAGACTCACAGCACATGTTGAGATGTTAAACTAAACACATGCTCTTGTTGTTTTGTGGTTGTGTTGTAGATTGGTTTAGCCGTTGGAGACATTGCTGAGGTGCAAAGAAATGCTGCTCTAAAAAGAATAGGCATGCAGGTATGTATGGGAAGAGCCCACACACACACACACACACACACACACACACACACACACACACACACACACACACACACACACACACACACACACACACAATAATTGAGAACACACTGTAGGAGCCATATGTTCAAATGTATAATCTGAAATATTAGTAATTAGAAGGAGAAAAAAATCACGGATCAATATCGTTTTTTGAACTTTGCAAATATGTGTTTGTACTGATACCTTTTGTTTAAGTAAAGAGTCAACCAAACTTACCTGAGACGTATTTTTGTTGGAGTCAAGCTTGTTGCTACTTGTGGATATATTCATCTTTGGATTAGAGGGAACTACACACGCCTTTGCTAAACCATGTCTTAGATAAATGGGTTATCAGAAGTAATTCAACAGAGACAGAGGGACATTTAGTGCAAAACACTTCCTGAAAACCCTTTTGAAAGATGTTGTTTTTCTAAAGGTCTCCATTTCCTCAGGGAAGTTATTCCAGAGAGTGGAGGCATGCAAACAGAGATCATAGTGAAGAGGTGACTCTTCACAAACTGATAATCTGTATTTGTGACTTCAGATTGAGCTGCACACCTCTCTGGAGGACAAGCTGCCGTACTGGTTTATGAAGCGAGTCGACAAACCCTCCATCACCGTCTACCCCAACCGCTACTGCTCCAGGGTGAGAAAGAGAAACAGATATACTGGTTATCATGGACATGTATCATGAGTCTATATATATGTATAGGTATATCTGTGAACAGTTTACATTCACTCCTATTCAGAGGTGGGAAGTAGTGGGGTACAAATACTTCGTTACTGTACTTAAGTACATTCTTCTGGTACCAGTACTTTACTCCACTACTTATTTTTCTGACAACTTTTAACTTTGACTTCTTACATTTTGAACACAAATACCTGTACTTTCTACTTCTTACATGTTGAACCCAAATACCTGTACTTTCTACTTCTTACACTTTGAACACAAATACCTGTACTTTCTACTTCTTACATGTTGAACCCAAATACCTGTACTTTCTACTTCTTACATGTTGAACACAAATACCTGTACTTTCTACTTCTCATATGTTGAACTCAAATACTTGTACTTTCTACTTCTTACATGTTGAACTCAAATACCTGTACTTTCTACTTCTCACATGTTGAACACAAATACCTGTACTTTCTACTTCTTACATGTTGAACACAAATACCTGTACTTTCTACTTCTTACATGTTTGAACACAAATACCTGTACTTTCTACTTCTTACATGTTGAACACAAATACCTGTACTTTCTACTTCTTACACTTTGAATACAAATACCTGTACTTTCTACTTCTTACATGTTGAACACAAATACCTGTACTTTCTACTTCTTACACTTTGAATACAAATACCTGTACTTTCTACTTCTTACATGTTGAAACCAAATACCTGTACTTTCTACTTCTTACATGTTGAACTCAAATACCTGTACTTTCTACTTCTTACATGTTGAACTCAAATACCTGTACTTTCTACTTCTTACATGTTGAACTCAAATACCTGTACTTTCTACTTCTTACATGTTGAACACAAATACCTGTACTTTCTACTTCTTACATGTTGAACCAAATACCTGTACTTTCTACTTCTTACATGTTGAACTCAAATACCTGTACTTTCTACTTTCTACATGTTGAACTCAAATACCTGTACTTTCTACTTCTTACATGTTGAACTCAAATACCTGTACTTTCTACTTCTTACATGTTGAACACAAATACCTGTACTTTCTACTTCTTACATGTTGAACTCAAATACCTGTACTTTCTACTTCTTACATGTTGAACACAAATACCTGTACTTTCTACTTCTTACACTTTGAATACAAATACCTGTACTTTCTACTTCTTACATGTTGAACCCAAATACCTGTACTTTCTACTTCTTACAGGTTTGAACTCAAATACCTGTACTTTCTACTTCTTACATGTTGAACTCAAATACCTGTACTTTCTACTTCTTACATGTTGAACACAAATACCTGTACTTTCTACTTCTCACATGTTGAACTCAAATACCTGTACTTTCTACTTCTTACATGTTGAACTCAAATACCTGTACTTTCTACTTCTTACATGTTGAACTCAAATACCTGTACTTTCTACTTCTTACATGTTGAACTCAAATACCTGTACTTTCTACTTCTTACATGTTGAACACAAATACCTGTACTTTCTACTTCTCACATGTTGAACTCAAATACTTGTACTTTCTACTTCTTACATGTTGAACACAAATACCTGTACTTTCTACTTCTCACATGTTGAACTCAAATACCTGTACTTTCTACTTCTTACATGTTGAACACAAATACCTGTACTTTCTACTTCTTACATGTTGAACTCAAATACCTGTACTTTCTACTTCTTACATGTTGAACTCAAATACCTGTACTTTCTACTTCTTACATGTTGAACTCAAATACCTGTACTTTCTACTTCTCACATGTTGAACTCAAATACCTGTACTTTCTACTTCTTACATGTTGAACTCAAATACCTGTACTTTCTACTTCTTACATGTTGAACACAAATACCTGTACTTTCTACTTCTCACATGTTGAACTCAAATACCTGTACTTCTACTTCTTACATGTTGAACTCAAATACCTGTACTTTCTACTTCTTACATGTTGAACTCAAATACCTGTACTTTCTACTTCTTACATGTTGAACTCAAATACCTGTACTTTCTACTTCTTACATGTTGAACACAAATACCTGTACTTTCTACTTCTTACATGTTGAACACAAATACCTGTACTTTCTACTTCTTACATGTTGAACTCAAATACCTGTACTTTCTACTTCTTACATGTTGAACTCAAATACCTGTACTTTCTACTTCTTACATGTTGAACTCAAATACCTGTACTTTCTACTTCTTACATGTTGAACTCAAATACCTGTACTTTCTACTTCTTACATGTTGAACACAAATACCTGTACTTTCTACTTCTCACATGTTGAACTCAAATACCTGTACTTTCTACTTCTTACATGTTGAACTCAAATACTTGTACTTTCTACTTCTCTCATTTTCCAAACAGCTGGTTCCTTTAGTCTGAATGTGTGTTTGATGCGTGATCATTATTCTTTAGAGTCATTGCGTGCCTATTGATTTGAACACGATCCGTGTATCCATCATTTCCTGGTCTTCTCTAAAGAAGAGGGACCAATGGAAACGTTGTCATGTTGCCGTTGTTCAGCATGGAAACATTCATTAGCTAACAATGACATTATTGTTCTATTAATATAAAGGGAGGTCAGGTACTCTTTAAAGCAGCTGCTAGTTATGGGTACTTTTTACTGAAGTACATTTCAAAGCTCTTTACTTTCACTTGAGGAAAGGATGTGTGTACTTTTGCCATCTCTGGTAATAAATGTTCTCAGACAGAAGGGTTGAGAATCATATGATCTTAGGTCTGTAATTATGTAAATGTGTAATGTAATGCTGAGACCTTCCCCTTTTCTTCTCTCCTTGTCCTGTATACAGTGCTTGTTTTTCTGTTGTAAGGGCGTCAGACCTTTGTAGGGTTATCTGACCTTCCAGCTAGAAATAGATTGATTCTGTTCAATGCTTTAACTCTTTATTAAATAACACAACTTTGGTTTAGACTTGTATTTGTTCATGTCCACTTCTCTCTCTTCATCCTCTCCTCTTCTTCTCACCAACAGAACTTCCTCAAGGAGTTTTTCACAGGAGAGGAGGAGTCACATGACGTGTGGAGCCGCATGCAGATGAAGTCTCAGACCTGCTCCATGCTGGAGAGCGAGATCAAGAAGCAGAAGCTCAGGTAAAGCATTCATTAATATAGTAATTGAGTCCGTCTACATGCTAGATACTGACAGTGTGGCATTGTTACTTTTATAGCAAAGAGCTACCATAAGGAATGCATCAACTGTGGTGTGAAGAAGAGCAATTTAAAATGTGTCTTTGACGCATGAGCAGCTCCTAGTGGTCACACAGATACTATAATCAGTATTTCTATAACAAGCACATTCAACACTTACAAAAGTAATATATTGTTCCACTTTACTGAGTTCAATCTCAACTTAACTAACAAATATCTTACCATTTTCTTTTGCAATGTTTAAACCTTTCATTTCTTATTTCTTTATAGGGAATGATTTACTTGCTTTCTTAATACTGAATGCTGGGGATAAGTCCATCATTATGATGATTTTAATGCATTTTTTAATGACAGGACATCAGTATGGGCCGTCATGAGGACATTATTGTCTGTATTGGGAAGTTCACACCTAATGCAAGAGGCTCAACTTACAAAATGTGATATTAAGACAAGATATAATTGCCAAAAATAAGCAGAAAATGTCCGTTCTGAGGCCGAGATGTCACTGTTCTCCACCCCATTGACTTTAATGCATTTTATTTATTTAAAGGTCCCATGTCATGCTTTTCTGGTTCTTACCCGCCCCCTTGTGTTCTGTAGCTTCTGCATGTGAACGGTCTGCAGAGTCACAAACCCTCAAAGTACACCCTGTAGCGACTAAAACTCTAACACAGAGAAGACCTGTCTGTGCTGCCCCAGAACGCCTCGTTGGACATATTTATTTTTCCATTTTTTTCTTCCGGGAACCAAGTGACGTAACGACGACCAATTTGTAGAGCTCCTCAGACACACACACTCTCTCTCAGCGGCGAAACTGTGGCGCGCTTACACTGTTGGTGCGCCGCGTTTTGTGGTGCGGGGGGGTGCTAGTGGAGCCTCGCAGATGGGGGTGCTGCAGCCCCCTCAGCACCCCCCCTTCCCGCGTCCATGCAGCTCAGGCTGAGTTCAGGCTGTGTTTCGCTGTCTCGTAGACCCCACGCAGCAACCAGGAAACCACACCAGTAATCCAGCTCACACAGTCCGCTCCTCGAGCCTCAAAGGGCGGAGCAGCGAGCCCCTCAACGTCCCGCCAACACGACACCCAGACCCCACGCAGCATTCTCATCGGTTTGTCATTACTGGTGTCATTTCCTGGTTGCTAACAAACGCCATTGTGACACATAATCACTGATGTTCAGCTGTAACGGTGGTGGACTCATCAGAACAGGGAGGGCAAGCTGACCAATCAGAGCACAGTGGGCTCATAGGGAGGGGGGGGGGCAGGAGCTCCAACAAGGCGTGTAGGACAGAGAGTGAATACACATGCCATACAGAGATGCTGTGAGAAACTAATGTGAGTTTGGAACATTGCACAATATAAATCTATTCTAGTAGACCTCAACAATGGAATTATGATCAGTAGCAATGGCCATGACATGGGTGTCAGGGTGTGTGGAAAATGGGACCCAAGTGCAGTTTAAAAAAAGGACTAAAAAAGGTAAGGTAACAAAAAGCGAGCTTTATTAACAAAAGCCGAAGGCAGGAAAAAACAAGAAACTAATTACCAGATACAAAACCGGGGAGCACGACAGACAGGAACAAACTTCCGACGGGAACAGGCAGGAGACACGGACAAGCATAGGTGACAGGGACATGAAATGACGGCGAACAGACATGGAGCACAGGGGAAGACTAAATACACAGAAGGGTTAGGACACACAGGACAAGACACAGCTGGCAGGGCAGGCAGCAACACAAAGGCAACAGGTGACCACAATGAGGCACAATCAGACACAGGAGGGAAACTAACGACAGGAAATCAAACACAGGGATCAGACAAGACACAAGGAGGAAAACAAAAATCCAAAACCATGACAATGGGACCTTTAAAGGACATCAGGATAGGTGTCTTTATGGTTTTGATTGTCTGTATTGTGAAGTTTACAGTTATTATAGGAGGCTCAACTTACAAATGTGCAATTAAGACAAGATATAATTGCTAAAATCAGCAGAAAATGTCCGTTCTGAGGCCGAGATGTCTGTGTTCTCCTCCCCAGGATGAAGGAGGTGTCCTGCTTGATGGAGAAGCAGCACACCCTCCTGAAGCTCATCATCCAGAAGATGGAGATCACGACGGAGGAGAGCGAGGTGGACGGGCCGGCTAACGTCCGAGGAAACGTTTGGCCGAGCATACCGAAGGCCAAACCTCACGCTCCAGGAATGTCTCGCTGGGTCCCGCTGATGAAGGCCCTCGAGGGAAAACAGAGTACGATAAAGAAAGTGTCTTCATAGAAAACGAAGCGACAACTAGACGAGTTTACAGTGCGAAGGATGACTCTGTAGACGTATAAAGGGCTTATTATTATTCAATATATCAAAAGATATAACTCATATCTATAATGTCGTTTTCATTATAAGCTTTTAACTGCCTTAAATACTGTGTGGCTTCATACTGTTGGCATGACATGTGAATGTTGATAAACAAATGCTCAAACTCAATTTACGGTGAAAATTCATCATCATTTTTGGGACGCAGACAGAATTTTAAGATGACTTGATATTTAATAATTGTGAGTTAAAGATGGACTGTTTACTTTTGAGTTGAATTATAAGCTATTAACTACCTTAAATGTTGTGAGTTTCCTACTGTAGGACATATATAACATGTGTTCTTGTGATTAAGAAATACTTAACATTATTTATGTGAAAAATGTCTTCTTTTATGATGACTGTTGAGACACGTGGATAAATGACTGGCATTTTAGATTTAACTGGAATTTATAGGAAATTCAGAGCGACATTTGGTATTTTCTCTTATGAAATATAAACCACAGACTGATAGATAGATAATGACTGAATACAATTAAAATGAGTTGTTGTCTTAAAAGTGAGTGAAATAAGACAGGATGGACTGTTTACTTTGAGTTCTCATGTATTTGTGCATCATGTGTAACCTGTGAGGATGATATAAAATATATGACTTTAATTCCCGACTCTTTTTGTCCGATTGTTTGAAAATCTATGCTTAAACACAGAAATGCTTCCTAATCGTCTCCGCTTGAGCATTGTTGCTTCAGGTTTGATGTCGGGATCACAGGTGCATTGTAGGAAAACAGAACGAGGCGTGTGACATCATGATCTCGCACCTGTCGCTCTGCTGCAGAGGTCTTGACCCCTGAGAGTCTCTGCTGATGGACTAATGTTAGCGGACCCTTTAAACTACTTGAAGTGATTTCTATCCCTGGGTTTCATTATTCCCAGGGTCAGAGCAACAGCCATCAATTACACACGGGACGTTTGGGACACGTGTGCAGCACTCTACCCTCAGAACGACTCATGAGACTAACGGTGCCTACACACGGGACATTTGGGACACGTGTACAGTACTCTCCCCTCAGACCGACTCATGAAACTAACGGTGCCTACACACGGGACGTTTGGGACACGTGTACAGTACTCTACCCTCAGAACGACTCATGAGACTAACGGTGCCTACATACGGGACGTTTGGGACACGTGTACAGTACTTTACCCTCAGAACGACTCATGAGACTAACGGTGCCTACACACGGGACGTTTGGGACACGTGTACAGCTCTCTACCCTCAGAACGACTCATGAGACTAACGGTGCCTACACACGGGACGTTTGGGACACGTGTACAGCTCTCTACCCTCAGAACGACTCATGAGACTAACGGTGCCTACACACGGGACGTTTGGGACACGTGTACAGCTCTCTACCCTCAGACCGACTCATGAGACTAACGGTGCCTACACACGGGACGTTTGGGACACGTGTACAGTACTCTACCCTCAGACCGACTCATGAGACTAACGGTGCCTACACACGGGACGTTTGGGACACGTGTACAGTACTCTACCCTCAGAACGACTCATGAGACTAACGGTGCCTACACACGGGACGTTTGGGACACATGTACAGCACTCTACCCTCAGACCGACTCATGAGACTGAGTGAGACCTCTGTTCTTCTTTTTTGAATGAACTGAACAGGCTTCAGATGAGGGAGAAATGTGCCTTGTTGTAGTCAGATGAGATTAGCATTTAGCATTAGCCTTATTGAAGTTGATAATTTGCAAATTCCATTTAGCACATCAAGAACTTTAAGAAAATACATCCAATAAGCGTCGAAAAACATGATTAGGCGATTGAGGACGTTCTTTTTAAATTATGCCTTTTCGACATATATAGATTCTTGAAAATGTGCAATAAAATGAGAACCAAAACATTGCTATTTTAGGATAGACTAAGTGAACCCTTCTTCATGTTGTGTTGTAGAAAATAAGGCGTAAATAACATTATTTTGGTGTAAATAAGGCGTGTGATATCTACCTTCATATCTGACATTATGACACGTAAGGATGAGCTAGGTTTCAGTTGACGTCACGTCTTTACGGGAAAATGCATTGAAGAGCGGGATTATGGGAAGCCTGGGAATGTGCCCTCGGATTAAGAAGCATTCTTGATTTGGGGAAAAGGGACATTTGAGCAGAGGGACACTTTCACATCACTGAAGATGTCCTCCTCTAGATAACAAGGAAATCCAAAGCAAAAAAAAGTCATTATTTCTGACTCATTATAATTAGTTTATGAATTGTATGGTTTTTTTTCACCTTCCGAGTTATTTCTTTGTTTTCATCGTAACTAGTTTGTTTTTGTGATCACTTTGTTCCCTTCTTGTTGTCGTATATATTTCTGTTGTTTTTGTGCAAATCATTTTAGCTTTTTTCAGTGTTTTGTTATTGTTTTTCTCCTTAATTAAAGGGGAGCTCGCTGTCTCTTACCCTCTCCCGTCCGATTCCTTTTGTCGCTATTATCTGGATTTGATTTGAAAAAAGGAATAATACAAATCGGAAGACCCTTAAGAACACCGCTTTGGATCGACTGGTATCAGCAATAAAGCAGCGCTAGAGCCAGGATGTTGTGATAATTTACTCACTACCCGGGTGAAGTGTTTCTCTCCAGTGATCCTGTCCAAAAGGCAGCGTGCCTCTCAGCTGCAGTTCGGTAACTCTTGGCAGACTCTTGCTATCGTCATAAAACAAAGTCACACACATTATGTGCAATAAAAGCTTGCAGGAACCTTTTCTAGGATCATCTTGAGAGTGCTGTATGGACACACAACTTCTTCATCTGGAGAAAAGCTCCTACAAAAGCTTGACTTGCATTTCTGAATATAATGCACAGTGTGTTTTAGACTAAGATGTTTGCATAGCTCACATGAAACAGCAGATATTTGAAGAGTTTGGTACAAGAAAAAAACTTCTTGCATGCTCTATCTCTGCAAAAATATTCACTCTCTTGATCCCAAAGATATTGAAGTGACCGTTATTTTGTATATATTGATTGTTGTGCTTTGATGTATGTCTTAATGTGTGCATATGTTTAAATGTGTCTGTTGATTGTAGGTATACACATAATTTTTGTATTTTTGTATTGGGGATTGTGGGAAACGGTATTTCGATCTCTCTGTCTGTACACACACTGAAAGACTTTCAGAAAACTGTCTCGCGGACACAAACCAAATGCAAGAATTGCCGAGATGCACGGCAGAACAAACGTATGATACTTTGGGAATGAAGATAAGTGCTGTGTGGACACAACACTTTTGTATTTGGAGAAAAGTTCCCACAAAAACTTGACTTCCATTTCTGAATATACTGTAGTGTGTTTTAGACTACGATGTTTATAAGAGTTTGGAACAATAAACAACTTCTTTCTTGCAGAAATCTTCACCCTCTTGATCTCAAACCTCACTGACACAAAACAAGTAGCCGGGATGCACGACAGAACACACTGTGATACTATGGGAATGGAGACGGTGCCACACCCTCATGCCAGCGCTCCAGATGTCATGGGAACCGGGAACAGCTGGTCTGCGTGTGAAAGCTGCTCCATCTGCAGAAACACAATCCCTCTGTGAACCCAGCCGAGGATTAGGCACTTTTGATAAGGTCCTCAAGACATTTCTATCACCACATCTGTGGAGCCGGCAACTCCAGGACCTGCTCACTATGTGTTGTGTGCATTTGTGCAGCAAGTTGCAGAAGTGTGTGTTTTATCATCAGGGAAGTTTAATTCAACAGAAAAAGGGATCAGGCAAGGCAAGCACTTTTCAACACAAGGTGCTTTACAGAAAGGAAAGACATTAAGAGCATAAAACACATTAGAAACATTAACAAGAAAAGATAGTATAACATGAATAACAGGTACATGAATAAAAGTTACAGTGCAGTGTGAGATGAGAATAGTTCAATTAATATACACACATGCATTTCCAAACATTTGGACTACCTATGTTGCAAATGTATTATCTTTTCAATTTACACACGGCATCTATTGCACGTCTGTCCGTCCTGGGAGAGGGATCCCTCCTCTGTTGCTCTCCCTGAGGTTTCTCCCATGTTCCTCTTTAAACTGGTGGGTTTCTCTGGAAGTTTTTCCTTGTACGATGTGAGGGTCTAAGGATAGAGGGTCTAAGGACAGAGGGTCTGAGGACAGAGGGTCTAAGGACAGAGGGTCTGAGGACAGAGGGTCTGAGGACAGAGGATCTAAGGACAGAGGGTCTAAGGACAGAGGGTCTGAGGACAGAGGGTCTAAGGACAGATGGTCTAAGGACAGAGGGTCTAAGGACAGAGGGTCTAAAGACAGAGGGTCTAAGGACAGAGTGTCTGAGGAAAGAGGGTCTAAGGACAGAGGGTCCTGAAGGACAAAGGGGTCTGAGGACAGAGGGTCTAAGGACAGAGGGTCTGAGGACAGAGGGTCTGAGGACAGAGGGTCTAAGGTACAGAGGGTCTGAGGACAGAGGGTCTGAGGACAGAGGGTCTAAGGACAGAGGGTCTAAGGACAGAGGGTCTAAGGACAGAGGGTCTGAGGACAGAGGGTCTAAGGACAGAGGGTCTAAGGACAGAGGGTCTAAGGACAGAGGGTCTAAGGACAGAGGGTCTAAGGACAGAGGGTCTGAGGACAGAGGGTCTAAGGACAGCGGGTCTAAGGACAGAGGGTCTAAGGACAGAGGGACAGAGGGTCTAAGGACAGCGGGTCTAAGGACAGAGGGTCTAAGGACAGAGGGTCTAAGGACAGAGGGTCTAAGGACAGAGGGTGTCGTATTGTCATACTGATATTCTGTCCAAACTGTGAAGTCCACTGAGACGAATGTAACATGTGATTTTGGGCTATAAATAAACATTGATTGATTGAAGATGATCTGAATTTGACTGTCACTCGTCAGAAATCCACTTTCCACTAGATGTGCAAACAGTAACACACACAGGTTGTTTCTTGTGATCATGTTGTATTTGTTTCTAGTTTTGCTCCTCTTAGTTCTTTTGGGTTTCTTTCTGAGGGCTCGTTCTATGATGAGCATTTTGTGTTTAATAAATAAGAAGCACGAGGAGGGTTGTGGTCTGTCTGAGGTCGCGGTGGATTAGAGAGAAAGGGGGAGGAGAAATGTTCGGCACAGATGCCAAGACCCTTAAATTAGAGGGGAGATCAGCGTGAGGCATGTTGCAGGTTTAGAAAGAGCAAGAGCTCAGATCTGTTGGTGCTGTTGAAGAGGTGACCAGAACAAGTTGCTTCCTATCCTGGTGTTTCCTCCTCTCTTAAAGCTGAGAGTCCTTCAGAGTTAAAGGTGATGTCCACCGGCTCCGCTGCGAGTGATGCTGAGGATTACGTGACGAGGAGGAGGAAGATCTGCAGGAGTTTAGACGAGGAGGACGAGCGGGAGAATGAAGAGCAAAGTGTCCAAAGGGCAGAAGGACGAGAGGCCAGAGGTAGTGGAGAACAAAATACTTTGTTACTGAGTGTGTACTGACCTTCAATGTGATGTTTCTTAAACAGTAAAGTACTTATACTCGAGTACTGTAATCTTTAGGTACTTTACTTTCAGTAATAATACTTCCTGCAACTTTATACTGCTAATCCACTACAAGAAGGAGTATTTCCATGTTATAACTTTAGTTATC